AGCAATATTATTCTATAAATAACTTTTATGGTTGCCATGGTAACACAGTGTAACCATGCAAAACCAGTAACTAAGACTGGGTTAATGCTACTGTCTTGAGGAAAAACATGAAAATTCAAGATTGGCAAATATGCATCCTTAGGACCTTGCAATACCAAAACATAAGAAAAATTGGGTATAAATGCTACTTTGCAGTGTTACCATGGAAACAAAGTACCAGTGCTTAAAAGTGAATTATTTTTCACTGCATTAAGAATTAAATTGCCATTTAATCAAGAAACAAATTAAAGGACTCAGCTTGAAAAGTACTTATCTGTTAGAACTGAAGTTGAATATCATATATTGATAAAATTTGATGAATAAAACAACACTGTTGCTATGGTTACCAAGAAGGGAAAATGTTCGATTTTGTGAACTTTATATCAATATTAAACCCTGTGTGCCAACTTCTTGCATCCACTTAGAGATTGGATGACAGTCAAAATTAAAAGTCAAGTTAGCTGTTTATAAATATCAATCATAAAAGTTTTGGGAATCTACATTTAAGGGTACGTATCCAAGGAAAGAAAATATTTTTCAGGTTTTTAAGCATATTTTTTCTGCTTATTTCCATAGCAACGCTCTATTTAAAGAATCTAATCTGAATTTTTTCAAATGGGAAAACTTGGAGCACACCAACATCTTATAAAATTGATCATTAGTTATGAGGAAATGTGCTTTTTTTTAAAGATAGGATCAGATTTAAACATACAGAGTGTTACTTTGAAGGCTCCCTGTGGTATAAAAACCTTGGCAACCATTGCCAACCAAAATGAAATATCATATTTTGTTCTTGGTATATGTTTCAAGGCTTTTTTTTCTATTATTTGGTCACATTGCATCCTATAATTGCTTTTTATTTTTACGTGTATGACTTTCTAAAATTCAATGAATATTTTTTTTATTTTTGAATACTTTGTTACCATAGTAACGTATGTAATAGTTGATTTACCAAACATGTTCATCATGCATTTGAGACATCTGACCTTCAACTTTTGGAAACAGTCACTGCCAATTGTTTGCTTTGCCGCAAATGTTAACTGTGGGGCTCTAAACATGTTAAAAAATGCCATTTTCCGAACTTTAAGACATGTTGCCATGGTAACTATAAAACATAGCAACAAATTTTTGCCTGATTTCAGTTTAGGGTATCAATGACTTTTATCATAGAGAGTTAGGAGAAATTCTGAGACTATGCGTGCCACAGCTCCTATATTAAATTTTAAATCATTACCGAGAATGGCTCTTAATATATACACTACCCAAGGATGCTCCCACATAAGTTTCAGCATTCCTGGCCCAGTGGTTCTTGAGAAGAAGATTTTTAAAGATTTGTTCTATATATTTCTATGTAAAACTTGGATTCCCTATTGTGGCCCCGCCCTACCCCCGCGGGTCATGATTTTAACAATTTAATATCTACACTACCCAAGGATGCTTCCACATAAGTTTCAGCTTTCCTGGCCCAGTGGTTCTTGAGAAGAAGATTTTTAAAGATTTGTTCTATATATTTCTATGTAAAACTTGGATTCCCTATTGTGGCCCCGCCCTACTCCCGGGGGTCATGATTTTAACAATTTCTGAACTTCTCTACCCAAGGATGCTTCCACATAAGTTTCAGCTTTCCTGGCCCAGTGGTTCTTGAGAAGAAGATTTTTAAAGATTTGTTCTATATATTTCTATGTAAAACTTGGATTCCCTATTGTGGCCCCGCCCTACCCCCGGGGGTCATGATTTTAACAATTTAATATCTACACTACCCAAGGATGCTTCCACATAAGTTTCAGCTTTCCTGGCCCAGTGGTTCTTGAGAAGAAGATTTTTAAAGATTTGTTCTATATATTTCTATGTAAAACTTGGATTCCCTATTGTGGCCCCACCCTACCCCCGGGGGTCATGATTTTAACAATTTAATATCTACACTACCCAAGGATGCTTCCACATAAGTTTCAGCTTTCCTGGCCCAGTGGTTCTTGAGAAGAAGATTTTTAAAGATTTGTTCTATATATTTCTATGTAAAACTTGGATTCCCTATTGTGGCCCCACCCTACCCCTGGGGGTCATGATTTTAACAATTTAATATCTACACTACCCAAGGATGCTTCCACATAAGTTTCAGCTTTCCTGGCCCAGTGGTTCTTGAGAAGAAGATTTTTAAAGATTTGTTCTATATATTTCTATGTAAAACTTGGATTCCCTATTGTGGCCCCGCCCTACCCCCGGGGGTCATGATTTTATCAATTTAATATCTACACTACCCAAGGATGCTTCCACATAAGTTTCAGCTTTCCTGGCCCAGTGGTTCTTGAGAAAAAGACTTTTAAAAGATTTGTTCTATATATTTCTATGTAAAACTTGGATTCCCTATTGTGGCCCCGCCCTACCCCCGGGGGTCATGATTTTAACAATTTAATATCTACACTACCCAAGGATGCTTCCACATAAGTTTCAGCTTTCCTGGCCCAGTGGTTCTTGAGAAGAAGATTTTTTAGTGACCCCACCCTATTTTTGTCTTTTCTTGATTATCTCCCCTTGTAAGGGGACTTTGCCCTTCATTTTAACAATTTAAACTCCCCTTTACCCAAGGATGCTTTGTAATAAGTTTGGTTAAAATTGGCCCATTGGTTCTTGAGAAGAAGTCGAAAATGTGAAAAGTTTACAGACGGACGGACGGACAGACAGACAGACGGACGGACGACGGACAAAATGTGATCAGAAAAGCTCACTTGAGCCTTCGGCTCAGGTGAGCTAATAAAAATACTAAGCTTAAATTTATAGTCAGATTTTTCACTAGTCTGTACAGACTAGTGCTACATGAACTAGACTAGTACAGTACCGACCAGACCCAACCTGACACCCAAGCAGTCCCAGAAAGCAGTCCCTGGGACTGCTTTGGGACCGCTCTGGGACTGCTGTGGGACTGCTCTGGGACCGCTGTGGGACTGCTCCAGGACCGCTATGGGACTGCTCTAACAAGAGGCCCATGGGCCACATCGCTCACCCGAGCATTGTGGCTAGGAAAAAGTAGTAATTGGTTTACTATTGAAAAGTTTAAATCCAAAAGTTTGGCCCCGCCCTACCCCCGGGGCTCATGATTTGAACAAACTTGAATCTACACTACCTGAGGATGCATCCATATAAATATGAGCAAATATGGCTTTGCTATTCTTGAGAAGATTTTTAAAGAGTTTTCCTATACATTTCTATGTAAAACTTTGGTTGGCCATTGTGGCCCCGCCCTACCCCTGGGGGTCACAATTTGAACAAATTTGAATCTACACTACCTGGGGATGCTTCCATATAAATATGAGCAATTATGGCTTTGCTGTTCTTGAGAAGAAGATTTTTAAAGAGTTTTCCTATATATTTATATATAAAACTTTGGTCGGCCATTGTGGCCCCGCCCTACCCCCAGGGGTCACGATTTGAAAAAAACTTGAATCTACACTACCTGGGGATGCTTCCATATAAATATGAGCAATTTTGGCCTTGCTGTTCTTAAGAAGAAGATTTTTAAAGAATTTTCCTATATATTTGTATTTAAAACTTTGGTCGGCCATTGTGGCCCCGCCCTACCCCCGGGGGTCACGATTTGTACAAACTTGAATCTACACTACCTGGGGATGCTTCTATATAAATATGAGCAATTATGGCTCTGCTGTTCTTGAGAAAAAGATTTTTAAAGAATTTTCCTATATATTTCTATATAAAACTTTGGTCGGCCATTGTGGCCCCGCCCTACCCCTGGGGGTCATGACTTGAACAAATTTGAATCTACACTACCTGGGGATGCTTCCATATAAATATGAGCATTTATGGCTCTGCTGTTCTTGAGAAGAAGATTTTTAAAGAGTTTTCCTATATATTTCTATATAAAACTTTGGTCGGCCATTGTGGCCCCGCCCTACCCCCGGGGGTCACGATTTGAACAAAATTGATTCTACACTACCTGGGGATGCTTCCATATAAATATGAGCAATTATGGCTTTGCTGTTCTTAAGAAGAAGATTTTTAAAGAATTTTCCTATATATTTCTATATAAAACTTTGGTCGGCAATTGTGACCCCGCCCTACCCCCGGGGGTCATGATTTTAACAAATTTGAATCTACACTACCTGGGGATGCTTCCATATAAATATGAGCAATTATGGCTCTGCTGTTCTTGAGAAGAAGATTTTTAAAGAATTTTCCTATATATTTCTATGTAAAACTTTGGTCGGCCATTGTGGCCCCGCCCTACCCCCGGGGGACATGATTTGAATAAATTTAAATCTACACTACCTGAGGATGCTTCCCCATAAGTTTCATCTTTCCTGGCACAGTGGTTCTTGAGAAGAAGATTTTTAAAACATACCACCAAATTTTCACTAATTCTCAATTATCTCCCCTTGAATGAGAGCGTGGCCCTTTATTTGAACAAACTTGAATCCCCTTTACCCAAGGATACTTTGTGGCAAGTTTGGTCGAAATTGGCCCAGCGGTTCTTGAGAAGAAGTCGAAAATGTGAAAAGTTTACAGACAGACGGACAGACAGACAGATGGACGCCGGACAAAATGTGATCAGAAAAGCTCACTTGAGCCTTCGGCTCAGGTGAGCTAAAAAGCAGACCTAGCAGTCCCAGCTGTCCCTGGGACTGCTTTCTGGGACTGCTTTGTTCATTCATGTGTGAAAGAGGTTCTGAGTGACACGATAGCTCCGCCCCCTTGTGTATTATGAATTTGCAGACTCCCGTTTACTAGCAGCAGAGAGGAGTTTAAACTATTACTAAAGCAAGGATTTCTTACAATCTTTTGATAAGAGATTATTATAGTTCATTAATATTTTCAGAGACTGTATATTTACACAAATTTAGTTTGGAATATTTTTTTTTAATCAAGTTGTTCAATAAGGAAGTCAGGAGAAGATTTTTATACCTAAAGATAAACTACAGGTTTATGAAAAAAAAATATCTACATGTAGGCCTATTTTTGATTTAATGTAAAATTATGTGCACTCAAAATTTGCATTAATTGGCACTATCTAAAAATAATCATTACAGGTAGATATAAGATTTTTAATTGAAAAGCTACATGTTTTATGAGTACCACGCTAAAAAAGTATTCCATGCAATCTCCAAATAAAGTCTAACAATTTATTAAATGACCATGAAATAAAATTAATATAATATGCTACCATTCTTTCGTAACTTAAACAATGTACATGTGAAACAATGTGAATAATCATTGGGGAATTTATCAATGAATTACAGGTAGTTTTTAATTTATTAACAAATTATCAAAAGGGTACATTTATTTTATAAATAAACAGTTGAAAATACCGGGAATTGTGATTTATTTCTTTTTTGTTTTGCTTGTGTTTACCTGGCCGATTAATGTTTATAAAATGGTATCAACACTCGCGGTTTTAATCGCCTCAGGGCAGAAAATCAGTGCATGTTATTTGGATATATGTATCAGCGTTTCACATCATTGAACATGCTGGTCAACAATGACCCTAATTTCACTCTAACGGAATGTAATGCAAAAATAAAATTGATAAATGAAATGTGTATGATTTCTTTCAGGATTAATAATTTTGAACATAATCTGAGGGATCCATTCTGGTGATTTACAGATGTACATTCTAACATTTACAAATAAAACACTTAAAATTGAGTATTTTAAAGATAGAGGAGTTAGCAATAATTAAATTGACATGTCAGTAAGAATAATCATGACTGAAAAATAATACTTGGCAAAATTTTACAAAGAATTTTCTAAAAGCCCCTATACTTAAGAAAATTCCTTTTGAATATCCCGATAGTATGGAAATTGGCCATATAACAATAAGATCTATTTAAAACTAATTCTTACTGGTGGAAAATAATTAATTCACGTTAAATTTTCTGTATAAAAAAGAAATACCGGTATGGGAAACAGTATCAGTCACAGAAAATTAAGAAATTGAATTATTAATATACCTGATAATTGTGATTAAATATTCATGTTCATTTTAATTCATACATGCACATGTGAAAGCCTTCTTCCTTCAATAAATATTATTTCACTTTGTTTTTATGCGCGTACTATTCATAAATGACCGCGTATATGTAAGGAGTCCTGGCATACTACCCAGAATCAATTTCTACTGCCTTTTATAGTTCCATTGTTTATTGCAAATCTTATTTCTGAGTTAGCTCCGCCCATTAATTTAATAAACCCCGCCCACTGGGACTGCTTTCTGGGACTGCTGGGACTGCTCTCTGGGACCGCTGGGACTGCTGGGACCGCTCTGGGACTGCTGTGGGACTGCTCTGGGACCGCTGTGGGACTGCTCTGGGACTGCTGTGGGACTGCTAAAGCAGTCCCAGAAAGCAGTCCCCGGGACTGCTCTGGGACTGCTTAGAGTCAGGTTGGGTCTGGTCAGTACTGTACAACACAATTTTTTCTAGTTGGTTATGAGCTAAATTCGCTTCCTGGACTCCACTTTTTTTTGCATTGTAAATTTGTTGGTTGTACATCATGTGTACATGTTTTTTGTCATTCTGGTTGTGTTGGAGAGGACAATCTAAGTTGGAATAACTTGTGTACAATCCCATTGATTATGTTTCAATCCTTTGATTGTCCTGTGTATAAGAGTTGTCTCACCTTGATCGTCCTATCTCCTGATGCCGATACAATGTATTTCTCATCAAAGTCCACGACGTTGACGGCAGCTCGGTGTCCCACTAACACTCGCCGCAGATTGATTTCTGTCGGCGACTGCATGTCCCATACAGCTATACTTCGATCCTGAAATACAATATAACTCATTTATCACCAGGCAAATCAGCTGAAATAAAACACTGCATTCAGTTTATTATGAAAAATTAAATAAAATTGAATATGAAATCAATGAACATAATTAAATAACACCATTTCATATAATTTTTAAAACAATCATTTCAGTACTACAGGTACATGTCCTGATTATTTATTATGCCACGTTTACTGTCCGTATACAAATATACATGTATGTTTTATTATAGATATTTACACAGTTCGAGAGGAAAAATTAATATTGTTCAATGAAATTTCAGCTGTAAACTTAACTTACTTTGGAACAAGTCACCATAATGCCATCACAGAATCTCAAGTGTAGCACAGCTTCACAGTGGTGGATCAAAGTGTTTAACATTTCCCCCGTATGTACATCCCACACTCTGGAAAATTAAAAAAAAAAACCTTGTGCTGATATACTAAGTCCTGAAAAAAGCACTAAAATACATTCTCATTTTAGGGTACACAACATTTTATTTAAGAAAAAAAATGTGCCCATTTTTTCTTACTAAATGAAAATAATTGACAACTTTGATAATATATATGAATCAGAGATGGTCTCCTTTATGTTCCCAAGAGATACGTCTGAGGATGAAAAGTGAGAGCTAGGGAGATACCTGACTGTGGAATCACTGGACCCCGATATAATAATGTTATCATCATACTGTAAACATACCTGACTGTGGAATCGCTGGACCCTGATATCATAATGATATCATACTGTAAACATACCTGACTGTGGAATCGCTGGACCCTGATATAATAATGTTATCGTCCTACTGTAAACATACCTGACTGGAATCGCTGGACCCTGATATCATAATGTTATCATGCTGTAAACATACCTGACTGTGGAATCACTGGACCCTGATATAATAATGTTATCGTCATACTGTAAACAAAGAACTGAGCCAGTATGACCAGTTAAAACTTGAACACATTCTAAAGTGTTACGATCCCACATCTGAAAACAAAGAATTACAAAAATCAGTAAGGAGTAAACTTTACTTTGGATAATGTCACTGTTTCAAGAAAACTGCTCACATTACTAGCAGATGAAATTATAGCACTGAGTTTATATGAAGAGGTAAATATATCTGACCATTTTGGACTTCCAGACTTTGATTGTGTTGTCCCTCAGTCCGCTGATGATGCGGGTCTCGTCGTACTGCAGACAGTAGACCCCTTTACTGGTCTCACTTCTACAGTGAATCCTCTGGAGGGTGTGGCGCCCCGTCCGCCAGTTGGTCTCTATCCTCTGGGAAGAATAAACATCACATGAACATCTAGTAATTGTTCTTCTAAGATTTAACTTACTTTGACAGACCTTACTTTAAGCTTAAATTAATCAAGATAAATTGAATTATTCAAGCTTAATCCTTCTCGGAACTCACCTCTATATCTTCAATAATCTGTGGATATAAATTTCTGTAAAACTTGTGGTCTGTAGGGGTGTCCCCAGCTTTTCCTTTGAATAAATACACTCCCCTGTAATATCAATGAAAGTTTGTCTAAAAATAAATTCTCAATGGGGCATAATTTTTTTGTGCATTAAAACAAATAAGACTTTCCTTTGCAGAGTTGCAAATAACTCAAAATGCGATAATTTTGTCTGTTAGAACTTGTGAGGATGTAATTGCTTATCTGGCCAATAAGAATTACAGAAACTTTTTTGGAACCTGTGGCTTCATTTTACAACCAAATTCATTCAAATTGACAATTCTGTATGCCATTCATATTTCCAAGCATTTTTTTTTCTATAGGAGTGGCATTACCACTGTACATCAAATACAGTGACTGACTTTTTCATGGCTAATAATTAAAATCATCTTTTTCTAAAATTGCAGATTTTTTTGGACTTCTGAAAATATGATTATTGGCCAGTAATGTTTTCTTTCTTTCTTTTTTTTTTTAAAAAAAAAAAACCTTCTGGCAATAATTGGCCTATTCCATCTTGCTTTAATCTGACTATCTTATATATTATCATTAGAAATTTCAGATATGTGAACAATTCATTTTATCACAAGATGGACCAGAATAATTCTATATCAAGACCATTTCCCAGATAACTTTGTGTATTTTGGTGTTAGGAGATACCCACCATCCCCTCCTCTCTGCTAGCCCTCTCCACAGTGTGTCTGTCCGTACCATCCTCTCTATGAGTTTCTTCCACAGCATGCCCTCGGAGATCACACGGTACCATTCCTTACACACGCCCTCCGCTGCACACAGAGACTTGGCATCCAAGTACGACAGAATGTTCTCTGCTATGTGGTCAAGACCCTTCGCTGGTTTGTAAATAAACAAGAATTAGTGTGTGTATAATCCGAGACTTTCTTCATATTAAGGGAATATACTTTTGCTTTGCTAGTTCTTTAACCACTACAATTAATTCAGAACACATTTACAACCATATTACACCTGAAAACTTCCTATGCTCTGATATGACTTGCATCTGATTTAATATTTACAATTTTGACTCATATAAAACCTCTTTCCATTGTAAGATAGGTCATTGACAAATATTTCAAGTAATCAATCCATAGCAGCACAAAGGATAAAAGGTATTGTACACAGTTTTGTTAACTAAACAGTTAATGAAAACAAACCTGGGAGAGCTGAGATGAAATCCCTCTGTAACATGGGTTTTAAATAACTGTTAATTTGTCCATGTTGATAATGACACATGCGTGATAACAAATGTTCCACAAATGTGATCTGGTCATATTCTGTCCAATTGTCAAAATATTTGGTACAACTGTCTCTATCTTTCAGGTACTGCTCGGAATTCTTCTGAGGGGCGGGCTGTAAAGACTTGATTTGGGTTTCGGTATCCTGTAAATAAAAAAAACTTGTGTGATACAAGCATGTCATCCCTACACATTAGAGAATCATTTTAACCATGTCAACAGTTACCAAACACTTCATTAAATAACTCATATATCATCTGAAATTTTCGAATAGTAATTGACTGGAATTATGACTTTCAAATCAAAATTTTAAAATAAATAATAAGAGATATGCTTAGACTTTGGTTCAATAATTTGCGAGCACACAGAGAATATTCTGGATTTTTCAGTACAATATCCAGATTTGTTTTTGTAGAGGTTAATATTAGGGATGTCAACGAGTACCCGGTTAACCGGGTACTCGATTGAACGTCCGAGTATCGAATACTAAAATCGGTACTCGGTTACTCGGATGTATATTTTTAAATATTTCTAAGCTTATTTATTAATGCATTAAAACATCAGTTTTAAAACGTAAAATGTTCATTGCACTTGTACATACAGTAATTAGGGTTTCCTATGCCTCTAAATGACCGTTATCGCCTGTGGCAGTGTTTATACAGTAATTATTGTGACCAAACACCTGATGTACCTACCCGGGCTTTTCTCACCTTCGACTGTCGTCTTCCCTTATATTTAGTTTGCTTTAATTATTTGTTTTCATTGAACATCGTTTAAGGTCCATTATATTTAAACAAATTAAATAATTTTGTCAATTCTCCAAAAAGCCGTAAATTCTCGGGAAAGAGACCGACGATATTGCACGTGCGATTGTTGATTTGGATGCATTTGATTACATGCCAATTAATGCAAATGGTTGAAGGCAAATGCTTTAAAAATCTTATGTCCATCGTTGCTCCAAACTACAACATACCGTATCGTAATTCTATGAAATCTAGGATCAAAACGTGTACTAAGATCGTATTAATCCGCTCTGTTATAGGATAACTTATCAAGTTTATACCGTACATATAGCTCAGACACTTATCACTTGGACATCAAACGCACCTAAGATATACATTACAATTACGGAACAGATTATTTTTTAAACAAAAACACTGTGAACCATTTCTGATTTTATTTCTCGTATTTATCTGATAAATAAATTGAACTTAAAAAAATGTTAGATTAAATTTCGTCGGTCACAAAGTGGTCATAATTGTTACAACGCATTTGCAGGTAACCTCCCATCGGTTTTATTTCTACAAGAGTTTACAATGTTTTACAGTTATCAATTAACTTGTTCATATTTATTTACACTTTTACCGAGTATCCGGGTACTCGATCGGAAAAATGTCCGAGTAACCGAGTATCAAAAATTGACCGATTTGACATCCCTAGTTAATATACAAGATTTTGGCTATTTGGGGGAACAAATAAAATAGTCATTGCCGCACCTGCTAATTAAAATAAAAGATGTACTCAATCGGAAATCTGTTAATTTGTTTGTAAACAAGTTTGTAAGTCAGTCCTTAATAAAACAAAATGTTGATAGGGTCGATGACAGTCCTGAAGGAAAACTGCCAGTTTAATTACTTTTTTCAAATTTAAACTGAAAAATAGCCTGAGAGTATCTTAGACAAGTTACTTAATACAAATAAACAGGTTGGGCACAGCGTACCAAATGGTACTTTATCCCCCATTTGGTAGACAATCTACCATATCGGTAACGAATTTTACTAACCAAATGGGGGACTTTTTTTATTCTATTGCAATTTTAATTAAAATAAAACAAAACTGCATTTATTCAGGCATTGGGAGATTTTAGTGAACATATTCCTCGCACATTTAACATAAATCGGTCGAATTTCTATGTGCAATGTCTTTGTAACTTCGTAAAAACAATACCCATACTTGTCTGTAACAGCCGAACTTCTTGCTCAATCGATCAAAAAAAATCTTTGTTGTGTCTTGTTGGATAAAAATTTCATTTTATCTAATGACTTAACTCTTGATGAGTTAACTTTCAATCTCTTTTTGGATCTTCGTCAATGTTCATCTCCATAAAATCGTGTTATTAAATACGAGCTCCTCATGCCTTACCGGTGTGGTGGGCACTTCCTGCTATAAAGTTAATTTTTTCCAGAGTTGAACGTAACATTTGTAGTCAATTTTCTTGTAGGATGAAGTTGCAGATTCCATGCGACCTTTTGGCGTTTAATATGCATATTACTGGTGAATTTATTACATTTGAAAAATAATATTCAATAAAAGTCAGAGGTACAAAATGACTTTTGCCATTATTCTTGTTTTTTGTTCCAAGTACATCGTTTTAAAACAATAATTATATCATACTCCAACTGCATTTACTATTTTTATGAAGAACAAAGCCATTGTGTTCAAAATAAAAAGAAATAAAGGTGAAAACTTATTTTTCTTCTGATTTCCTAATTGAAAATTAACACAAATGTGCCTCCGTAGTTAAATCCGACTTTTCATCAGATTTAAAAAAGATCATCGTTTTGATTGGTTTGCACTAATTGATTGGTTGCCCGGATAATCGAAATAGAAAGCAAAGGACATGATTGACAGGTGCAGCACCATTGGAGAAGGAGAGAATTTTTCTTTTAAAGTAAAAAACGGAGAAGCATTGCACTTGTTTACATAAGCTATACGTTTTTGTCAATTTTTTGATAATTCTGTGCAAAAAACTGGACATAGAATTCCTAATTTTTTTCACCCAGAACACCGATAAATATCTATATTTTATTCCACATGGTTTAAAATTATGCGCAATTCCACTCCACTCGATGGAATTAAACACAACCAATGTTGTCCCCCAAATGGTCAGTAAAATTCGATACCGATATGGTAGATTGTCTACCAAACGGGGGATAAAGTACCATTTGGTAGGCTGTGCCCAACCTGATAAATGCTAACTCAGGGACATGGAAAAACTATGTTTCCAACTGGTCTCTATTCCGACATTATTTAATTTCATGTACAACATTTAATTTAAAATAAAGACTTAATTTATATTTATAAAAATATTTGGACATTGTAAACACTTTCGTTTTACTCAATCTACGTTGTAAATGAGGAAGGTTTTGATGACTTCTTTGTATAATACAAGACTCTACTTGCAAAGGAATATGTTATGAACATTCACATCGAACTCAGAAAGAAAACATCAGCAAAACCATGTCTGGAAATTTTTAAAGCGAGTTGTTTTGTATTATTTACTCTTGCCAAACATCAAACACAAGAATACCGACCTCATATTAATTTGTTCAATGATATTGAGGTGTTGTCAAACAACAAAAAATGGCGACCTGATTCTCACAATTCTATCGAATATTTTTCCAACGAAACCTACCAGTTTGCGATCAGATCTATCGTCAATGGAACTACATGTTTCCATTTTTGTTTCCATAGAGGTCATTCTTCTTCACCGATGACCGAGTGAAGCTGAATCAGAGACCTTTTCATTCACTCGCACATTCACTCTGTCGTGACGTCATCCAGAAACAGGAAGTTGTATTTATTCTCGTAAAAAATCAAATATTTATGTTTTATGCATAAAAACTAGTGAATTTACTTTCGAAATATTGTTTTGAAAGAGAAAAAAGTTAAAATAACAAATTTTATAACATGTCAGTTAAAACATAAAATTATAACACCTGAACCGGACGGAATACTCGATTCCGGGAATTAGGGAGGCGGATCTACAGGTTTATCATTTTCAAAATCAAGCTAAATGCATTGAAATGACTCAGTTTTACGTTATTATACCCCCCCGCTTGAAAAGCGGGAGGGTATATAGTAATCGGTATTTCCGTCCGTCTGTACGTCCGTCCGTCCGTCCGTCCGTCTGTTACGCTTTGGGGTACCCATCTCTTATCCGCAACTCCTCTCATACCACTGAAGGAAATTTAATGAAACTTTCACAGAATCTTTATTACATATTGCCATTGTGCACCTCCTATTTTACTTTTTGATCTGACATATATTTTGGATTTTCCAGAGCAAAACATGGATACTGCCAATATATTCATATGGGAGGCGGGGGGTATCATTTAGTGAGCTCATTGCTCACAGTACCTCTAGTTTATCCATAGGAAAAGTAGTCCAAGGGAACTGAAACTGTATGGAGTATGCGTAAAATTTCCTATCTATGTAACCTGGACTCAAATATTAAAATATTTTGTATTGTAGCAATTGTAGTTTTAGGCAAGGCACTAAAAACTGAACAAAACAATGGCCAATCAAACAAACAATAGAAATCACTAAACAGGTAATTAAACACGGTCCTCCACTACCGACTATCCAGAGGTGGGTCAGGTGCCTAGGAGGGGGAAGCATCCCGGTCCTGTCGAATAGTCACACTCGTCCTTAGCTGTATGTACTGATCAGGTAGGCGGCCGGAATAAATTCCGTTGTTATATCCAGGGACGTAGCAACCGGGGGGGCCAGGGGGGCCTGCCTCCCCCCCCCCCCCACTTTTCCCCCCAACATTACCTTTACTATAGTAAAGGTTCATTGAAAGGATGGTTGCCCCCCCACTTTTTACTATAGTATAGTGATATCAAGGATTGTAGGGAAAAATTGGAAGTGATAGTAAGTTGGCTTTGAAAAAGTTGGCCACTACCTCCTCTCCCCCCCCCCCCCCCCCCCCCCCCCCCCCCCCCCCCCCCCACGAAATAGGACTTTCGTGTTTGGGCAAACTTTTAATTTTCGGGTTTTTCTTTTGTTTTTTTTTTTTGCTTGTCAACTTTTTCAGGTAAGTAAAACAAAAATTTCTCTGGTTGGCCCCCCCCACTTTCAAAAACGATGCTACGTGCCTGGTTATATCGACTATAATTAAACAAAAGCATGTTGGTATGGAATATGTATGTCAAAATACGACCCATTGCTTTGTTAAATCTGCTAACAAGGATATTATACCGACCTTAGAATGTTGACTTTATATGAGAATGTTGAAATCCTTTTAGCATCAACTTATCTCCCAGGAGCCTGCCTTGGTTTTAAAATTTTATTGTTCTCAGAGCATGCGCTTATGTATTGAATAAGTTGAAAGAAATAAACACCATATGTAGATAATAGCAGAATATTATTACATTTTAATTTATACGGAATTAGAGTTTAATCATTTTGTTCAGTTTGGTTGTTAGTAAGACCTGTCTTTTCCTTTAGCTGCGTAGAGTATTGCAAATTATATTACTAAGTGAAATGGTATCTACATGTATATATGAGATAGTTAATTCAATGTCCGTAGGAATTGGGGAAGGGTGTAATTTTGCCGATATCTAATGCATTGCAGAAAAACTTAGATTTTTTCATTTATCTGCCCCTCAAAAATTACGTCTAAGGGTTCCTTTAAACCCCCCCCCCCCTGAGTGTGACCACAACCTGAAAAGTTTTAATTTAGTTATGTCCGTAAAACTGAAATTGCTTCCTACGAACCTGTTCAATAAAGGCCTATTAAATGGTTTTTTTTCTATAAAGGCCATAAGCCTTAATTAAATCACCAGATTCCGAAACATTTATGCACATTTACTGGACATACCCAGACTTATTCCAACAAGTATGAATGGCCTACTGCGAAAAATGAATGACGGATTCAGAGAACCTCATTTGGTCATTAGGGTGAAAATCAAAATTCTTCAATCTTATTCCACATCAACTGCAGAAGACCACCAATAACCATCCAAAAGATTATTTTGTTACTGCAAAAATGTTAAGAAGAAAAGCTCAGCGAAAATTATGACAGGAATTTAGGAAACAAGGTTTTGAAGCGGAATAGACAAACTTTAAATTTTAATGCGATATCCTTTTCTAAAAATCTAAACAAGCAATCTTCACCAATGTATAAAGGAACAATCAGAGTCTTTTGCGTGTTAAATAGAATGTTAAATTTATTCAAAAAGCTGTTAGATAGTGATACTTTATTTGAATTATAACATTTTAGAAGTTTCTTGTTTGCCAGCAACTTCGTATATTTATACAAGAAAAGAAAAATATACAAAAACAAACCAACAGAAAGGGGAAAAGCAAGAAATTAGCATGCATGGATGTATTTGCTTTAAAAGCCACATTTTCAATCTTTTTTGATTATTTTCATTTACAACTGTAAAATTCTAATTGAGTGTTTCCCCGTCCATTAATTTATTCTACTTTAAATTTTATATCCTTAAATTCAAACTTTTATTTTGATTTGATAAAATCCTACTTTAACAAAGTCAAAATCTACCGAAACGTGACGTGGGTATCTAGAGAGAACTTATTGTAAATTGGATGTTATTTTTGTGGAATTGAATCCATTGTGCCGCTTTGTCGGACGATCTATCTTAATGTTCTCCGTGGTCAGTTTGTCCTAGCTGAGATCCTATCAGGGGGGCCTTTTGTACACTGCGGACCCTGATCACAAGGCCTGTCCCCCTCCTTTCCTTTAACCGACCCTCGGAATGTCATTAACGGGCACTCTCTCTAATTTGTTGTCATTAACAAAGTAACACCAAGTGTTTGTAGAAGATGGTGAGATATGAAGAACGTTACATCAAGTATATACCGGGTCCCGGAATCTCAGAAATTTTTATGAGTACAGTCACACATTAACGGGGCGATAGGTGTCTATTTCATAATGGTGTGGGACTTTAAATTTCACAAGCTCATATATAGAAATTCTAAATGATACATGTATATATAATGTGTAGTACTTAATGAAATTACACTTTTTCTTCCATTTGCTAAATTCTATATTTCATGATTCAAATAGTTAAATAAAATACTATTATTTAAACACATATACAGACATTTCGATAAATTTTATCATAGTTTTTATTACGGAGGATTTTCTTAAAAACTTCTTTTTAACAAATACATGTATGTGTGTGGGAAGTTGGTGGGTTCCAGTTTTTCTTTTTACATCATTCCCCAGATGGTAGAGTCAGAACGAGATATATCTAACGATCAGTTAAATTCATCAAGTCAAAGGGAAATCAAAAGTAAGAACCCCCTTCTCCCATTATTTCCGCCAGACAGATAATCAAGAAGAATCGCAGCACCATATGGCGCTGAAGAAATGGTAAATTACAGAATTATAGATCACAGGTCAAGCCGCGAGTCTCACGCAATGTGCGATCACGCTAATACGCTGCTCGTGCGAGGCGCTCTCATCCATCAAGGAACTGGATGCTGACAATCTCTATGTTTGGTGGGGGATTTGGGAGGGTCTGTTACACGCCCCATCAGCTTAACTGGTCAGCAGCGGCTACCCGTCTGTATGGGCCATTAAAGAAAGATTGCCCCGAGAAACGATAGCTGATAAGTGAGCAATTGAGTGCCTGTATGTGGCGGTTAGTATTACAAATTGATCGTTACAGTTATCAGTTTTAAAATCACTTTGTCCAGCTCTTGTTAATTATAACCGTTTATCCCCGTACCCGGTCACTTGACTTTGCTTTAAAGAAAATAAAGAAAAATGAAGGTTTTAATGACAATTCCCTGACCTCGGTCACTACAACCCTTCCACATGACGTCACGGGTAGTTTAACTCCCGAAATATTTATTTCACACCACATACTCATAAATCTAACACTTCTAAATAATCCTCCGAAGCTTAACTCAGGTTTTTGATGATGATTGTAAATTAAGATTTAACTATGACAGAAAAAGAAAGATTATCTTCGTCTTTTTCCATTGAGAGTCTCCTGTCGACCAGCGATTCAAAACTGCAGGAACGGCCAAGAAAAATCTCCAGATGTGAGGAAACACTTCATCATTCTTACAGAGTTAATGGAGAATTCAACGAGGACATCAAAGGTAAAAACATGTTTTGTAAAAATAAAAATTTTAATGAAATATTGTCGTATGACATATGTGTAACAATATTGATTTCAAGTAAAATTGAAAAATTATATTTTTTAAAATATTTTTTTAAATAAAAAGATTCTAAAACCTTTATTTAAAACGTGAACTTATTAAAATAAGTTTAAATTTAAGCCTGCAATGTAAAATTTTTAAAAAAATTTGTTGACCTTATTTTTTGAAGACGCAGACGATATCCCGACGGACACAAATACTCACTTTGCAAAGGGAAAAGCGTTAAAATGTAAACAGAAAAATACACCATCAGATGATACAGAAAGCGAGAAAGGGACTCTAAATGTGAAACATAACACAAACAACGAAGATTCCGGATGCTTAAAAACTCGAAAGAAAACGAGGACTGTGTTTTCACGCCATCAGATTTTCTGCTTAGAGTCTGCTTTCGATGCCAAGCGATATTTGTCAAGCACCGAACGTTCTGAAATCGCTTCCACGCTCAATCTAACAGAAACCCAAGTCAAAGTGTGGTTTCAAAACAGACGCAATAAATGGAAGTCCCAGCTCGCGGGTGATCCAAGTATTCCACCCGAACGCTTCCCCGTGTTGCCTTATGGCGGAAGGTTTCCGTTTCCGATTGGAACTCTCGGAACTCCTTTTTATCCGCCTTTGTTTTATCTGTGACTCGACGGTGCATTTTTTGTCCTGTTAATGGTTGAACATTTCCAGATTTTTGAAAATCCAGTGTTGAACTTTATGTAATAATCTTGACTCTTTGCCGTGCTGAGATTTCAATTCATGTTCCAATGAGAAGGATTTTTTTTAGAATGTGAATATTTGTGAACTAAATTAATATGATTATCAGACATATATGCTATAAATTCTGTTTAGAATTCATTCAATTTAACTAACATGTACAGAGAGTATGATATTGTGAAATAATTTAATTTTGTTTGTATTCTCGCCTCTCATTGGTTGATTTCCAGAACGCAAAACATTTTGTATAATCTGGTTTGGTAAACACACCCCCTTGTTAATCATTATATCCATGCAATCCCCTCATTTCCAGTCCTCGGAATCCACGTTTCAAATTTAATAAATTTACCTTCAACTTTAAACAATTACTCGTTCTTACCTCATGTAAACAAACATCATGGCTGCTAGATCTATGTATCAGTTATTACCTCCCCTCGCTTCAAATCACTTCCGTTACTACGGTTGTATTATTGCGCGGTAAATTTGAACTGATAAAAAGCAACACAATTTTACATCAAAAGTTGTTTAATTATTTTAAAATTAAATTATAAGGAATGACAACTCTGATATTATCGTTTACGCTTTTTTATAATCCGCTTCGCAGATTATAAAGCATGCTATTTATATGGCCAAGAATTAGAGTCATTCCTTAAATATAAAGAACACGTAAATAATGTTAATTCCTGCCCTAATATTTTAGCCAAATTCCGCGTAGATTTAGATGCACATTGGTTTTGAACCTCAATATCAACTCTGAACGTGATTCATGCTAAATATCCTGCAACTGACAGTTAAGTTATGATTCATTGTACTGTATTTTACATTTTAAGTTATCTCGGCCAAAGTCTAAAATTTCGACAGATTTTGAATTTATCGGATTGTAGGTTAATTCAATTCAATTTTCTACCTGCTTCTAGAGTATTTTATTTTAAAAAAATGAATCAAAAAGGATTGGAAACAAGTTTTTTACTACATGTAGTTCCTCTCCTTATATCAAACAATTTGTCATGCAATATGATATAAAATTTTCAAACTGATTTAAGTAAAACTCTGTCCAATTAAACAGCAATTTAAAATCTACAGGTTTCACCAATAAATTTATGAACAGCAACAAAATATTATTAAATCAGTTCAATAAAAGGATTGTGTTGGTGTCATCAAGAAAAAACAATTAAGATTAATTTATCCCTAGCGTTTGGATAATTCCTACAAGCAAAAGAGAAATGATAATCATCTTCATTTTTACCCAATTCAACTTTATTTGCATTTTTGTGCCCCGCCTTCGCGAAAGCATCATCTGTCATTCGTCATTCGTCTGTCCATCTGTCAATCCGTCCGTCACAAAATCTTTAACATTGGTAATATCTTTTGAATGACAAGAGATAGGGCTTTCATATTAAATATGTAAGTTACCTGTGACAAGACCTTTCTAAATATACTATGATTTTTGACCTTGAATTTTGGCCTACTTTTCAAAAACTTTGACCTTGGTGATAACTTTTGATTGAGAAGAGACATGGCTTTCATATTAAAGCTGTGTAAAGCCTGTGACAAGACTTTTATAAATTTACTATGATTTTTGACCCGTGGCATTGACCTTGAAGTTTGACCTACTTTTAAAAAATTAAATATTATTCAAAATTGGCCATAACTTTTGATTGAGAAGAGATAGGGTTTTCATATCAAACAAGTATATATTAAATGTGACAAGATTTTTATACTTACACTATGGTTTTTAACATCGTAAATAACCTTGACCTTGAAGTCTGACCTACTTTTCCAAAAATTTAACCTTGGTCATAACTTTTGAATGAGAAGAGATAGGGCTTTCATATTAAAGCTGCGTATTGCCTGTGACAAATCCTTTCTAAATTAACAGTACTATGACTTTAACCCGTGACCTTGACCTTGATGTGTGACCTTCTTTTCAAAAATGTTTTTTTTCTTATAAATTTGACTGAGAAGACGTAGGGCTTTCATATTTGACAAGTGCATTATCCGTGACAAGATTTTTCCAAGCATGTTATGATTTCTGATCCCCTTGACCATGACTTTACGATTTACCTAATTTTCAAAAAAATCAACTTCGGTGATAACTTCTGAATAACATATGATAGGGCGTTCATATTTCACACAATATGCCATAAAAATGACATCACACACACACAAACACACACACACACACAGAAAAAAAACGAAAGCGGGTGACCACAATTCTTTGAATTTGCTTGTTTCCTTCAAAAACCCAAGTTGTTTACAATATTGTCACACAATAATACACAATAGGCCACTTTCTGCTACCCATTGAAAAATTATATTACATGATAGCAGGTTAAAAGAAAAATTCAATTTCAACAAATCCAAGAATTGCATGCAAACACCAGACAGCTGTATGTAAAACAACAGGTCACGAAAAATGGATAAAAGAATTTTAACTTTATTATGATAACAGATAATTTTATCATATATGTTTCATCATCAACTGAGGGAATTTGCATGGATCCTCCGTTCCTTTCCAATACAGCGAGTGATCCTTTCTCGCCAAATTGCGCAATAATTAATTTTTCTCGTATAATTTGTCCTGAATTTACAATTGTTTTAATCTATAAGAAGCCTCTTTTGTACAAATTTGTAATTTTTCTAACACGTTGAATTGTTTATTGTAATGAAAAATTGAGATTGAAAGACACACGGATGAGTTTAATAACCTCTTTGTTTTTAAATAATTTTTATATTGCAATATGCAAAATAATACAAAATATTCTTTTGAATGATTATCTTCGTTTTCATATTTCTATTTTTTAAATTTCTTTATAAATATATAAAGATTTTTATCTCTTTTACTTCGGATGAATCTTCTCCAATCAATTTTCAAGAATTAGTGAAAATGGAAAAAGAAAAAAAAACGGCGGCCGTTTTATGTATGTATATTTTGGTTAAAATATTGGTAAGTAAACATAAAATGTGTATGTAAATTTTGTTGTGGGGGGAGAGGAGTCGTCGAGCACATCCCCTCAATGTTGCTTAGCCCTCCCCTTTCACCAATATTTCTGTCTTTTTTGGTTGTACATCGAAGAAACCAGTTTTAAACATACATGGTTTGAAGTATAGTTATATGAATCAATTAGATATATAAGGGGTTGAATGTAATGTTTCAGTTGAGACAATTAAGAATCAAACGCGTATTTCCTAATTTAGGCTAGTTTTACATGTAACAAATCCAACTACAGTCCTCTCTGTCTCTAGATCCGCCACTGGAAAATAAAATCAACAAAATGACACTACGCAAATAAAATCTAATTTATATACCTTCTTGTGCTGATCTGTCATAATGACCAATTAGTCTTTGGATTCAACGAAAAAAAAATCATTTATACTTTTCTTATCCCAAGATACCATTTGAATTTCCCTCTGTTTTCATTTTAGATTGTTCCATTTCCTAAGGGAGGATACCCTTACAAAAGATAGAATGAATAATCTTTACCAATCAAAAATTTGAAGAAATATCAAATGATTAATTAGTCAGCATCCTTGTAAAACTCTTACAAATGATTCTTTTGATTTGTACTCATCGGTTAGTGTTTATTCGCATTAAAGGTAACCTAATTTCCCCCTTTTATACTCAACAGTGAACTCGTCCAAATCAATTCACGTGGAACACAACTCACCAAAGCAGTCGTTACGTGAAAACTCAGAAGACAGAAGATTTAGGTGTAAGTATTAGGTAAGTTCACTGAAAAAGGTAGGAAAAGTATTTATTTCTCGATCTAAAATGTTTATACAAATGATGAAATAAATTTTATGTCGTACTGATGGAAATACTTTGAATGATTGAAAGTTTTAAAGACTGCAACGGTGTTGAACAGTGCAATGGAATATTGCAAAAGAAGTTAACAAGTTCACATCTCCTTTCTTCTGTCTTTTGCAAAGGAGTAATTGACTAAGAATTCATTGTCTTAGACACACAATGAATTCTTAGTCAATTACTCCTTTGCAAAAGACAGTCACATAAGACAGGTTGGGAAGTTAACAAGTCTGAAATGGCAAAGATCAAGATGTAGAAAGCTGGTTATAGTGTAACCATTCTTAGTATTTAGGTCCCTGATTTTACAAACTGCTTGGCTAGTAGAAAAAAATCTTTTTTATGGAGGTTCACAATATTTTAAACCACCATGTGGCATCTTCGCAAGCCTTTAGGCCAAAAGAAAATATATTCTTGTTTCCTGTCCCCTGGGGCCTGACCAAAAAAATAGGGTAGGTAGGGGCCTAGGGAAAAATTTTTGAGAATTTTTTTTTAACTCAATGAATGAGGAATACATAGCATGTAATAACAAGAAAGCAGTATAATAACAGTTTATTAAGCAAGTTTGTTAAAGACTTTATATTTAGTAAAGTTATCATATACTCTTAATTGTGATGTAATATTTCTATATTCTTTGAAATGAATACAGGGTAGATATTTCAGAGACAACACACTAGCTGATCGCAAACACACCATGATAAATGGTCAACGTTTATCATGCACTTTTTTGACAGGTCTGCCCAAGTTTTGTATTCAAATTCTTCTGAGATTCATCTGCGAAAACATTAAATATTTTGGTCGACTTGAGTATTTCTGGAAAATAGCCCCGAAACAATGAAAATATATATATAAAAAAAATAAAATTGGGGGTCAGAGGGTAAAATGTAGGGTAGGTCGGGTGACAGGAAACAAGAGTGTTTTTTTATTTTGGCCTGAGGGTTTTTAGGAGCAAAACAGATATGATTGAAATTCAGATTCAATAGAAAATATATTGAAGGATGAAGGTATCATTAAAAATATTCTTAAAATACTGAGGATTAGTGGAATCCAGCCTCACATTCAGTTATTTTTGTTTTTTTAGTAGAAGAGTCAACAATGGTTGTGACAACAGACATATTTCTGAAGGAAGACCTTCATAAACTCCTGAAGAATCGCTTCATCGTTGTCATAGGAGACTCAAGTGAGTATTAGTAGAGCTCAAGACCATAAACAGAGAAAGAAGACTCGAGTCATAGTCTCACCTACTAACCTCTTTTTTTTTGTAAGAATGAAATAGCAAACATCTTTTGCTGTTTGTTTTGGTGGAAAGTTGGGTATATTTTGCTATCCATTTCCGATCAAGGATGAACAAGGATCTACTCTGAGTTTTATTCTCTACACCCTGAGGCTAAAGAGTGTATGGAGTACAACCCAAAGTAAATCACTGCTTACCTTTGATTGAAGCTGGATAACTAATAATTTCAGTTGTCCAAATAATTATTCTTTGTAAATCCAAGTCCATTCAATGGTATTTTAAACTATCCATAAAATTTACCATGTGCTACATAGCATCATTATGTCATGTTACAAGTATTTGCTTTTGATGATATAAAAGAAACTATGCATTGTGACATCACATTATTTATTCTGGCTCAGGCCAAATGCTCAAAAAATTACACACAGTTTGCAAGATGATCAAATATTATGTTAATCTACAAGCTACCTAGGTTATAATAATTGTGCCTCAGAGCCCTCTCCCTTTGTTTGTCCATTAATCATTCTCATCTGTGTGTAACACTTTTGTCTCAAATTTGAAATTTTATATCGTAATACTCTCTATGGGGTTAAGAAGATCCCAGTTGATTTTGAGAAGAAAAGGTCAAAGCCAACGGCTCATGTGAGTTTTCTGATGACATTTTTAGCTCACCTCAACGAAGTTGGGGGGAGCTTATGTGATACCCTCGGCATCGGCGTTGGCAGCGTCCCGGGTTAAGGTTAAGTTTTTTGAAGCAGTTTTCTTTTTAAGTACTTCTATGTCCTATATTGATTAGACATGCATGGAAGATGTTTCTAGTGTGTTTCATTGTACCAGTCAAAGTTTCAGATGCTGCAATTTCAGCAAAGGAATGACCAGGTTAATGTTTTTGGTACAGGTTAACATTTTTGGTGCAGTTTTTGGTGTAGGTCTCATTTCCGAGTAACTATAAGCCCTATGTTGACCAAACTTACATGGATGGTACATCTTAGGATGCATACTACCAGACTTGCTTCAGATGCTGAATCTGACCTACATTTTCCAGTTGAGTGAACAGGTTAAAGTTTTTGGTGCAGGTTCTATGAGACATATAATGACCAAACTTGCATGGATGGTACATATTAGGATGCGTACTACCAGTCTTGCTTCGGATGCTGAATCTGACCTACATTTTACGGTTGAGTGAACAGGTTAAAGTTTTTGGTGCAGGTTTCATTTCCAAGTTACTTTGAGACATATAATGACCAAACTTGCATGGATGGTACATCTTAGGATGCATTCTACTAGACTTGCTTCGGATGCTGAATCTGACCTACATTTTCCGGTTGAGTGAACAGGTTAAAATTTTTGGTGCAGGTTTCATTTCCAAGGTACTATGAACCCTATAATGACTAAACTTGCATGGATGGTACATCTTAGGACGCATACTACCAGACTTGCTTCGGATGCTGAATCTGACCTACATTTTCTGGACGAGTAAACAGGTTAAAGTTTATGGTGCAGGATTCATTTCCAAGTAACTTTGAGCCCTATACTGACCAAACTTGCATGGATGGTACATCTAAGGGTGCATTCTACTAGGCTGGCTTCAGAAGCTGAATCTGACCTACATTTTCCGGATTAGTGAAAAGGTTAGTTTTTTATACAGGTTTCATTTCCAAGTAACTTTGTGCTCTATGTTGAACAAACTTGCATGGATGATACATCTTAGGATGCACACTAATGGACTTGCTTCAGATGCTGAACTTGACATACATTTTCCAGATAATAGACCTCGTAAAAGTTATGGGTGCAGGTCTATCACCAAGAAACTATAAGGCTTATATAAACCAAAGTTGTACAAATGATGCATCAAGGGATGAAAACTCTCAATCTTGCTTCAGATGCTGGATTTTAATTACATTTTCATGATGAAGAACTAGTTTTAAGTTTTTATATAGGTCTATTCCAAAGTATCAAAATTGCATAAATTTTGCATTTTTGGATGTACACTTTTTGTTGGTTAATTGTGTGACTTAATTTGCCTTACTTAAGGACAACATTCGTTGAGGTGAGCTCTGTAATCTCTGATTACCTATGTTTATGAGGTCATGTCTCTCTGTTTAAACTTTTCACATCCTGGTAGTCTTTTTCTCAAGAACCACTGAGCCAATTTCAACCAAACTTGACCACAAAGTCAAAGTATCTTTAAGTAAAAGGAATTCAAATTTGTTGAAATGAATTAGGGTCATGCCTTCTTCCAAGGGGAGAAAAATATGAATTAGTGAAAAATTAATGACATCCTTTGAAAAAACTTCATCTCAAAAACTACTGGGTTAAAAAATATAAAACTTATGTTGAATCATCCCCAGGTACAATGTAGTTGATTTAAAGGTTTCATTAAGTTGGTTCAAATCATGACCTCTTGGGGTTGGGTGGGGCCACAGTGAGAGATTAAAGTTTAACCTTCTTAGGTGAGCACCGTGACTTATGGGTCCCTTGATTTTTTAGCAAGGAACACAACTTAGCTTGTTTTGTTTTTTTTTAAGGCCAGACAGTATTTTGGTACATTTATAGTAGATACTTGGTTGTATTGGTGACTAGACTTTGACACGTTTTAATTTACAGATCAGAGAGCTATATACAAAGACTTGGTACTTCTGTTACAGAAGAATGATTATATCACATCCAGACAGCTAAGAACCAAGGTTTACATTTACATTACATAAAAGTAATAATCAATTAGATCAAGTCTACTTTTTAGCTCACCTGAGCCGAAGGCTCAAGTGAGCTTTTCTGATCAAAATTTGTCCGTCGTCTGTCGTCGTCGTTGTCGTTGTCGTAAACTTTTCACATTTTCATCTTCTTCTCAAGAACCACTGAGCTGATTTCAACCAAACTTGCCACAAAGTATCCTTGAGTGAAGGGGATTCAATTTTGTTCAAATGAAGGGCCACGCCCTTTTCCAAGGGGAGATAATTATGAATTAGAGAAAAATTAATGGCATTTTTTAAAAATCTTCTTCTCAAGAACCACTGGGCCAGGAAAGGTGAAACTCATGTGGAATCATCCTCAGGTAGTGTAGATTCAAGTTTGTTCAAATCATGACCCCCAGGGGTAGGGTGGGGCTAAAATGGCCGATCAAAGTTTTACATAGGAATCATAGGAAAATTTTTTTAAAATCTTCTTCTCCAGAACCACTGGGCCAGGAAAGATGAAACTCATATGGAATCATCCTCAGGTAGTGTAGATTCAAGTTTGTACAAATCATGACCCCCGGGGGTAGGTTGGGGCCAAAATGGCCGATCAAATTTTTACATAGGAATATATAGGAAAAATCTTTAAAAATCTTCTTCTCAAGAACCACTGGTCCAGGAAAGATGAAACTCACGTGGAATCATCCTCAGGTAGTGTAGATTCAAGTTTGTTCAAATCATGACCCCCAGGGGTAGGGTGGGGCCAGAATGGCAGATCAAAGTTTTACATAGGAATATATAGGAAAAATCTTTAAAAATCTTCTTTTCCTGAATCACTGGTCCAGGAAAGATGAAACTCACGTGGAATCATCCTCAGGTAGTGTAGATTCAAGTTTGTTCAAATCATGACCCCCGGGGGTAGGGTGGGGCCAAAATGACTGATCAAAATTTAACATAGGAATATATAGGGCAACCTTTTAAAATTTTCTTTTCAAGTATTTCAAAGCCATGATTAGTTAAATTTATATGGAAACATCCTCAGGTAGTGTAGATTCTAGTTCGTTCAAATTATGATCCCCTGGGGGGGGGGGGGGGTTAAAATTCAAGCCCCCCCCCCCACCTCAGTAAGGCTTAAAAAAAATTAGTTTGTTTCCTGTAACATTCCCAAAAAATCAAGGGTCGGAAGAAGGTCGGAAATTCTTTTTTTTTTTTTTTTTTTTTTGCTTATGAATGGTGAAACATCCCGGACTGAAAATACCAGGTGTTATATTTACAGTGGACACCCAACATGGCATCCAAAATGGCTGCCTATAGCAGCAGAAAACGAACTTCAGAAAGTTGTAGGGGGAAACTGTTGTTACAATAATGATAACTCTGTATATTTAGGGTAAATGTAAACTAGGTTGACATATTTTATGTCTCAAATTTACTACAAGCTATTTTTTTAATTTAATAAATGGAATCAGCTGATCGATCAAACGAAGTTTTGCCATTTTTCAGAAGAAAAAAATCCACCCGGGGATAATTTGAATGGGTCGGTCGGGTTACAGGAAACAAACATATTTTTTTTTTAGGCCTAAACTTTCAGTTCTGATCTGATATGTGCTTTTTCCTAGCCGATGTGCTCAGGTGAGCGCTGTGGCCCCTGGGCCTCTTGTTATAGAACGTCATCATTGAACAAAAAATGCATATGCAGAAACACTACTACATGTTTTGATGGAAAAATAAGCTGTCAATCCATCAGAAAGTAGTATATATTTCATACTAGTATGTGTTTTACAATGAATATTATTTGATTTCAGGGAGAATTTTGCTTTGAGAATGATGAGTTGATTGAAGGTGGTAGGAGGTCGAACATGAACAATGGTACAGGATACCGCGAGGTTCGACAGTACCAGACCGACTGCCACCTACTGAGGTTCTACTTCGTCACCCGCTGCTACGGAACGTACATGGAATCCATACTAACAGATCTGTCCGGTGAACTGTCCCCAGATGTTGTCATCATGAACTCTTGTCTCTGGGACATTAGCAGGTAGAATTAAAAAAATTTGTATGCCCCACCATGAATATGGACAGGGCATATAGTGTTTGTCATGTCCATCTTCTGTCCTTCTGTCCTTCCGTCACACTTTGCGTTTAGTTCAGTTCAAAGCTCAGTTTCATAAAAACTATCCAAAATATTTTCATCAAACTTCATTTGCTGATAGATATTGATGAGAGCTATGCAACTGCATCAACATTTTTTACCTTGACCTTTCCTTTGACCTTGACCTCACTTTTCTTAAGTTAGTGTTTAGCCCAGTTTTAAACATACCATTAAAGATGGTGTTATCAAACTTCACATGTTGATACATGTACATACTGATGAGAGCTATGCAACTGCATCAACTTTTTTGACCTTGACTTTTTCTTGACCACACTTTTCTTAAATTAGAGTTTAGCTTAATTTTAAAGACACCAATCGAGAAATTTTTATAAAACTTCATATACTGATACATACTGATGAGAGCTGTTCAACTGCATCAACAATTTTTACCTTGACCTTTCTTTTGACCTTGATCACACTTTCCTTATATAAGTGTTTAGCTCAGTTTAAAGAAACTATCCAAGATATTTGATAAAACTTCATATATGATGAAAGCTATTCAACTGCATCAACATTTTTTACCTTGGCCTTTCCTTTGACCTAGACCTCACTTTTCCTAAATTAGTGTCAAACTTAATATGCTGATACTAGTGTTGTACTGATAATCGGAAAACATCGATTGCCGACGAAAAAATGCTTCCGATATTCTGATGATCGATTATAATTTTTCATAATCGATCATCGGAAACATACTTCTAAGTACATTCCAGAATTATCTATTTCTAGTTTAAAATTTATTTATTCTTAATGAAAGAAAATTGGCATGTGCTTCTGATACTTGCCAACTAGCATGAAGCAAAGGTACTTAGGAACTGGAGTAAATTTTGGTGTAGGCTCATAGAATTTAAAACTTCACTTGTTCGCCCACGTGGTGAATTAAAAATCTGCAGGACCATTCCAGTCCCCTTACTGAAACCAGACGATTTCCCCATGTTTTTTGCTTTAAAACTTCCAATCAATTAAATAAATAAAAGTAACATGGACCTATTGTTCCTAAATACCCTTCATCTAATCCATTTACCAGTACTACATGTTTTGTGAAATCTTTAAAATGATCGTCTTTTTTTTCTAATCCGAATTTCCCCCATTCCTCTGTGTATCGATTATATGTGGTAGATATCCAATTTAATTATTTTCAATTACACAGTCTTATGAAATGGAAGTGTTATTAGGCTTCTACTTATTCCGGATAAGTTTCAAAAATATTTAAACTAAAAGAAAAATCTTATTCATATGCAGATGGTGGCATCCGTTAGCTACTAATATACAGTCCAATGACCAGGAAAAGGGGATTTAAACAATAAAATGCTTTCTTTGTTTGTTATTACTGGAATTAACGGAAGCAGCTGTTGCAGAAAAAATACATACTGTAAATCACTTTTTATTCGCGAGAACTTTATTTTCGCGTAATTACGCGAGACGACATGCTTGCGAAAATTTCAATCTCGCGTATAATAGAATTCCTTAAGATTATATAGAGCAATGACCACAATTCGTGAAAATTTTGTCTCGCTAATAAAAAGTCAATGACCATCTCGCGAAAGTAAGGTGTCGCGAAAATAAAGTGATCTACAGTAACCCGCTTTACGTGGGTTATGTAATTTTTTTCTGCAATAGCTGCGACCATTAATTCCAGTATTAATGATGCGAACGTCTTTATACATTTCATTTGCGGAACAGCCACTGATCAAGAAATCTGTACAGGTGACATGCCTACTGTAGTTCATGCAGTGATTAACACAATGGGTTTTCTTAAGAAATAAAGGAAAAAATATTCAGTGGATGTAAATATTAAGTATATAACCTTCAAAAAATGATAGTAAAATATTTAATTAAATTCAATTTCATTTACTATGATGAAATATTTATGCGAAATTTATTTTACAAAGTAATTTGAACTTCAATTTTCATTTTAAACAAATGCCCAAGTGTATTTCATATTTAATTATATCTAGACTTTAATTGACCCAGTGATGTATTCAAAGGGTTAAAAAATCACAGAGATTGTGGCTTAATTAACAGATTTAGCTGTAGGCTCCTAAATTTAAAACTTTAGGAGCCCACGTGGCTAGTGGAAATTTTAGTTAAGTTTAAACCATGCGTGTACTATGTAGAAAGTGTGAAATAAGCAAAACTTATAGAAATAATATGAAATAAATGTAACAGTCTGCTTTTTATATACCAAGCTATAAAATCTGATTATAATCGGTAAAATCGCATCGGAAGCAGTAACCGATTCCAACTGATGATTGATTGTGAAAATTAAACGATGTCCCATCACTAGCTGATACATACTGATGTAAGCAATTCAACTACATCAACATTTGACCTTTTCATTTGACCTTGACCTCACTTTTATCATATTGTGTTTGTCAGTTTTAAAGAGACCATTTATCTTTTTTTTTCAACTTTATATGCTGATACATACTAATGAGAGCTTTTCAACTGTATCAACATTTTTTGACTTTGGTCTTTCCTTTGACCTTGACCTCACTTTTCCTAAATTAGTGTCAAACTTCATATGGTGATACATACTGATGTAAGCAATTCAACTGCATCAACATTTTTGACCCTGACCTCACTTTCTGAAAATAGTGTCAAACTTCATATGCTGATACATACTGATGTAAGCAATTAAAGTGCATCACTTTTCAAGATATTCTGATCAAATTTCATACAAATTTTCATGTTGCATTACTAATATACCCTCGTCGGGGCATTCATGTCCTATGGACATATTTCTAGTTTTGGATAATGGATTTGAATTATTGAAAATGCACTTTCTAAAGATACTTATCTCAGTTTTTAGCTCACCTGAGCCGACGGCTCAAGTGAGCTTTTCTGATCACATTTTGTCCTTCCTCCATCCGTCTGTCTGTCCATCCGTCTGTAAACTTTTCACATTTTTCGACTTCTCAAGAACCACTGAACCAAACTTGGTACAAAGGATTCTTGTGTAAAGGGGAGATTTACTTGTTAAAATCAAGGGCCAAGTCCCTTCACAAAAGGAGATAATCAAGAAAAGACAAAAATAGGGTGGGGTCATTAAAAAGTCTTCTTTTCCAGAACTAATGAGCCAGAAAAGCTGAAACTTATGTGGAAGCATCCTTGGGTAGTGTAGATTCTAAATTGTTAAAATCATGACCCCTGGGGGTAGGGCAAGGCCACAATAGGGAACACAAGTTTTACATTGAAATATGTAGGAAAATACTTTAAAAATCCTCTTCATAGGAACCAGACCTGCCTACCCTTCCACTTTTGGCGTAATTCTTCCGCTTTTTACCACAAAATTACGCTATTACGCCACTTACATTAATTTTACGCTTTTGATATATTAAATGATATTGCAATAAGTACATCCATTTCTATGCTCAATTTAGTTTATTTTAACGTTGCTTAGAACAAGATAAGAGAAATGTGATTGTTAAAAAGATACAATACATTGTTATTTTGCACTATTTGTGTAAACGTGCAAACTCAAGCCTTCAATAAAGTGATTTGATATTTGATACAAACTGACCAAATGCTGCATTAAGGGTGTACGGTTGGTTTGAGTTTATTATAGGATACTGGTATTTTAACAACACTTTCTTGACAAGAGATGATTCGAAAAAGAAAAGTTTATGCCAGCTTTGTTTTGTAATATACAATTTAGGTTGTTTTGAAAGAAAATAAAATACCGCATAGCGAATTATTTTAGCGGGGTGCTTATTTAACTTATTTTAAAATTTTGCATTTTGATGGTAGCCCGCTAAACTCTTTAAATTGCTAAAATAGTAGTACTTTTCTTAGTGTTCATCTGCAAAGAATTGAAACCCTGTGTCCGCTAAAATAAATTACGCCAAAATTATTGGCAAAACAGAGCAGGCAGAACGCCAAATTTTACAACCGTCAAGAAAACCCACCAAACAGAATTAGAGTAAAGCAACAAAATAGGAAAACATGATTGATTACGCTTTAACCTCTGAAATTCCACCAAAAATTTACTGAAATTACACCCTTGAAATGAAAAGGGTAGGCAGGTCTGAGGAACTACTTGGCAAGAAAAGCTGAAACCTTTGTGGAAGCATCCGTGTGTAGTGTAGATTTTAAATTGTCCAAATTATGACCAATGTGGTAGGGTTGGCTCACAATACGTATTACAAGGGGGGAATTTGGTAAAGAACAGCATGGCCAAAGCTACTCAGGTGAGTGATGTGGCCCATGGGCCTCTTGTTAAAAATCCATACAACTAACCCAGTTTCACTGTCTTGTAAATAGATCTTAAACTTCTTCATTTTTAGCTCACCTGAGCCAAAGGCTCAAGTGAGCTTTTCTGATCACATTTTGTCCGGCGTCCGTCTGTCTAGCTGTCTGTCTGTCCGTTTGTCTGTCTGTAAACTTTTCACATTTTTGACTTCTTCATAAGAACCGCTGGGCCAATTTCAACCAAACTTGCCCAGGGGCTGACAAATAGATTTTTAAGGCACTTGTCCAAGGGCAAGTACATGGTCAAAATTGACTTGCCCTACCTGAATTTTTGCTTGCCCTACCATAAACTAATTCTGTATTTATAGATTATTTTTCAAAAAAAGAGGAAGACAAATGCTGAGTAAATCATAAAAGCCCCTATGCCCAGCTTTAAATTTATGGCCTACAAAATAATTCTATTTTTGATAAGTCACTTGCCCACGGGCAAGTGGTTGATAAAATTTCACTTGCCCATCCCTGAAATTCACTAGCCCCGGGCGTCGGGCAATGGGATTTGTCATCCCCTGTTGCCACAAAGCATCCTTGGGTGAAGGTAATTCAAGTTTGTTCAAATGAAGGGCCACTCCCTCATTCAAGGGGAGATAATTGGGAATTAATGAAAATTTGGTGGTATGTTTTAAAAATCTTCTTCTCAAGAACCACTGTGCCAGGAAAGATGAAACTTATGGGGAAACATCCTCAGGTAGTGTAGATTTAAGTTTCTTCAAATCATGACCCCCGGGAGTAGGGCCATAATTGATCATATTTTTATGAAAGCATCCTTAGGTAGTGTAGATTCAAGTTCGTTCAAATCATGACCCTCGGGGGTAGAATGGGGCCACAATGGCCGACCAAAGTTTTACATAGAAATACATAGGAAAATTCTTTTAAAAATCTTCTTCTCAAGAATAGCAAAGCCATAATTGATCATATTTATATGGAAGCATCCATAGGTAGTGTAGATTCAAATTTGTTCAAGTCATGACCCCCGGGGGTAGGGCGGAGCCACAATGGCCAATCAAAGTTTTACATAGACATATGTAGAAAATTCTTTAAAAATCTTCTTCTCAAGAATAGCAAAGCCATGATTGGTCGTGGGACTACTTTTGGATTTAAACTTTTCAATAATAATTAAACCAATTTCTACTTTTTCCTAGCCGCAGTGCTCAGGTGAGCGATGTGGCCCATGGGCCTCTTGTTAGAGGTTGGTGGTTCTTAGACAGTTGTCTATTTTTCATAGGAAAAAGTAGAGAGTAATTTTTTTAAGATTGAATGGGGATATTATAATCAATATCAAATTACAGAATTTTAATACATGTAGCTCAATAATTTACATCCTTTAATATTTTGTTAGAAATTACCAGCTCTGATGTTTTAAAACATAGATATGGGTCAAATGGAGTGGATGAATACAAGGAGAACCTGAACAAGCTGTTTGACCGCTTTAAGCAGTGTCTGCCTGAGGACTCGCTGGTCATCTGGAACACCACCTTACCCGTCGCCAAGGACATGAGGGGCGGTTTCCTGGTCCCTAAGGTAGAGTTCATGAAAAGCACTCTTAGACTGGACATCCTGGAAGCCAACTTCTTTGCCAAGCAGGTTGTAGCCTCTCACGGATTTGACATTCTTGATCTACATTACCACTTGAGAAATCGTCTGGACTTGAGAGCTCAGGACGGTGTACACTGGGACCAGAAGGCTCATCGCCACATCACCAACCTGCTGCTCACCCACATTGCTGATGCGTGGAGCGAGAAAATGCCAGGCAGAAACAAACCAAAAACAGATGTCAATGGAAACTGCCAAACCACGCCTGTTGTGACAGAACCTTCTATAAAGGAGGTCCAAAGAACCGTGAGTTTGAAGTCTCCTGTGAGCCAGAACAAGGAAAACGTAAAAGAGAATGCTGAGACAGCCAGGACGATTGTCAACACCCGCAGACTGTCAGGTGGAAGTGTCAATCTGAACAGGCAGAGGAAGTCTGTAGACCCAACTAAGCCTGTCACAATGGGGGAGAAGGAACAACTGGAAATATTCAGTGTATCCAATGCCTCAACTCCAAACTCCAGGCGGCGATCATTTGACAAACTCCAGGCAGATCTGAACAAGGTTCAGAGAGAGATACTGGGCATGGTTAGTACTCCACCTTCCTCCAAGGGACATTACTCCAACCCCCCACTTAGAGAGAGGGCACCTTACACAAACTCCTACCAGCCTTCTCAGTGCTATACGGACAACAACCAGGGCTCATCGGGTAGCTATACAAACAACCTCTCCTATGACCTGTATCAGACCCAGTACCAGTCTGCCTCTTACAGCCAGTCTTATAACCAGAACATGAACAACATGCGGAATAACTACATGAGCAACTTTCAGAATAACTTCATCAACAACTTTCAGAATAATTTCATGAACAACCTTGTGAACAACTACAGCACTGGTGATTTCCAGTGGCAGCCCTATGCCCAAGACAATTATCAAGGAGCCAACAAAGTTTGGAGCACCAGGAGCCACTACAGACACAATCAGCCCCAGAACCCGAGCTACTACAGGATGTCACACAATTACTGAACCTAGACACAACCCACAGAACCCAAACTACAGGATGTCATATAATTACTGAACCTAGACAAAACACACAGAACCCAAACTACTACAGGACATCTCACAATTACTGAACCTAGACACAAACCACAGAAACAAAACTACAGGATGTCACATAATTACTGAACCTAGACAAATCTCACATAACCCAAACTACAGGATGTTTTGCAATTACTAAACCTAGACACAACTACTACAGGATGTTTCAAAATTCAGGATGTTTCAAAATTATTGAACTCAGACACAAACCACAGAACCAAAACTACTACAGGTTGTTTAAAAATTACTGAACTCAGACACAATCCACATAAATGGAAATACAGGATGTCCTACATTTAATGTGCCCAGACACAACTCTCAAAACCAGAACTAGCTACTACAGACATCCCACATTTACTAAACCCAACCCAACCCACTGAAGCAAGCCTATAGGATGTCTCATAATTATATCATGTATACACTTATTTACGGAAATCTACAGGGACTCTCACAATTATCTTACCCAGTGTTGTCTTTCATTATGTTGTTCTCATGTAAAGAAAACTCCTATCAGACTCTGAGTAGAAGTCAACTTACTGGTCTTGGCTCATCTGGATACTACTGTATAATAGAACAAGTCGGTACTAGGAATGTGCTTTTTGTGTTGTCTAAAAGGATATGGAAATATTTGTACATTTTTCCGCCAAAGCCTTGGTTTTGCACAACATTGCTTTGGTCTTATGATCAGTGCAAAGATTAAATGATGCTATGTATCACAATGGATATAAAATATCCACCAAGATACAATACTAAGAAACTGTTTTGCTTGTGTAAAATATTTAAAACTGTAATGCCACAATTTGAAATGTGGCCCATTTTCTGTGTGTCTGTTTGTGCGTGTGTGTGAATGTATATAATCATGTGTATTGTACCAAGAAGAAGATTGGACAGATCATAAATGTTGACCTTGAATCATGCAGAATTGATAGAGATCTGTTTGTAGAAAGTGTGTCTGAAGAATGCGAGGGAATAAAAATCATATTTGACATTAAAACTGATTGTTAGAAGCAGGACCCTGAGGATAAAGTGTAGTTTGTTGTTGCTATTGACTACGTGACTGACTATCTGGTGACTCTTAGACGGGACCTGTCAAGAACTTACTACACTTGATATCCAATTTCTAGTGCTTAGAACTGCTTTTAGCCTGATTTTAAACAATATGATATTTATTTTCATAATTAGACTAGTGCTTGATACCTTTATGCTTTTAATTTATGTTCCTTTTCAGGGATATTTTATGTATTACATGTATTTACAATGTCTTTTTAATAAAAATATAAAAAATATGTACGCAGTTTTCATTTCAAATTCCCTCTATATTTCACAACTACCATATTTTTAACTCACCACAGGGATTTATCAGTTAACCATCTGAGGGACAATATTCAATCCCATTCACAATGGAACAAGAGGCCCATGGGCCACATCCCTCACCTGAGTAACTTTGGTGTAATGTTCTTTATCTGATTTCCTCCCTTTTTATACCTTGCCCTAACCTCCCCCTACCCCAGGTCAAGAATTGAACAATTTAGAATCAAACTTGCCACAAAGTATGCTTGCACATTAGTTTCAGCCACGCCCTTTCAATGGGAGATAATTGGGAATTAATGAAAATTTGGTGGCATATTTTAAAAATCCTTATGTGTGCCAGGAAAAATGAAACTTATGGTGTAAACATCCTCAGGTAGTGTAGATTCAAGTTTGTTCAAATCATGACCCCCGGGGGTAGGGCGGGGCCAAATATCTTTTATATTTTGTATATAGATATATAATTGTGTATGTACAAAGCCATAATTCATCATATTTATATGGAAGCATGCTTAGGTAGTGTAATTCAAGTTTTTGATATATTGTGTCCAAAATAATTTTATTTTACATAGAAATTTATAGGAACATTCTTTAAAAATCTTCATCAAGAATGAAAGGCTTTCATCATATTTATATGGAAATGCTTACGTAGTATATTTTTTTGTTCACTACGGTGAACTATCACCTTTTTCAGAAAAATCTTGTATGGAAAGACAATCAATGAATATCCCTGGCGTGACATTTATCAAATATTATTTTGAAAATGAAATTAATGCCCTGATAATTTATAGTATTAATTTTTTACAAATTAAATTGCGAATCAGCTTAACAGAAGTCGGCCAAAGTTTTACATAGAATATATATGAAAATTTTTTAAAAATCTTCTTCGTCAGAATGGCAAAGCCAAAATTCATCATATTTATATGGAAGCATGTCCAAAGTGTAGACGCAAGTTTACTCATCATGCCACCAGAAAAAATTCATTTTACATAGAAATATATCTTAGAAAAAGTATTATATACATTACAAAGCCATAATTCAGCAAATTTATATGGAAGCATGCTATAGTGAAAAATCATTTGTTTTATTTACATGCGGTTTAGATGCCTGCACATGTACATTTGTAGAAATATATAGGAACTTCTTTAAAATTGGCAAATCAAAGCTTTCATCATATTTCTGGTGCACTCTATGTGATCGAGTTTGTACATTTTGAAAATTGTCATTTTTTTACAATATCTATATAGATCTTTTATGCTATACATCTCAGAAAAATTAAAATTCATATTTTATTAACTATATTAGAGCTGACGCCAATTATGTCCTTTGAATTGGCCCCATTTTACATAGAAATATATAGGAAAATTCTTTAAAAATCTTCTTCCGTGTGCAAAGCCATAATTCATCAACACACATATCTTGTAAATCGAGTGTACGCATTTATTTCATAGTATGACCAAAAATATATATATAAAAATTCAAAAATAATTTGAAAAAATAGCAAATCCATGATTGGTCATGGGACTAGGTTTAAACTTTACAATAAAAAGTTGTAGCATAACATAACAGTGACATACTTTAACAAATGTTAAGTACAAAAACATAACCTGTCGAAATTACACCACCCTACCCTATTTCTTTGTAAGACTTGGATTCCCTATTGTGGCTCACCCTACATAAGAATTTTTCAGCAGATTTAACACAATAAGGTTAAATATCTTTGTTTCAAAAATTTTATTCAACAAACCTCAATATTATGCTTCAAACTTATGTTTAAACAAGTTGGCAAGTGTGTCAAAAAATTCGTCTCTGTGAAAAAACACTACTAACTGCACTTGAAACAGATTTTTTAAATGGCAAATTACAAATTTATACATAGTACAAACAATTTCTACTATAAACCTTGTTTGAGATTCAAATGCTTTTTTTTCTATAAAAGCGTCTGCATTGCTAATAGAAATGGATACTGTATACTGGGTTATTTTCGCCCTTTCACACTTGCAAACAATTTTAGCTCGTTTTAAATTCACCCAGTCATCGTTTTATTTAAGAAATTATACTGTATTCTTTGAATTCACCCAGTTTTAAATTCACCCAAATGAGGGTAGGGCGAAAGGGGCAAAAATAAAACAAGGGCGAATATTTCCCTTTATACAGTATTAGTATGATGAAGTTTTAAAACAATTTTAACACAATAAGACTAAGTTGAATGAACATGTTGAATAAACATTTAAAATTGAAAGAGGAAAATATCCGAATTCACAAACTTTTCACATAGTCTATACAATGTTCATACTCAATATGCAACAAGTGACATCACAAAACTCACAAAATATTTATTGAAAAATAACATAGGTATATTTATAATATGACTTAAGTTTTTGTAACATATATATTCATTATTATTGCAATCTGACATTCTTTGCTTTCTTGTGTCATTGTGTCAGTATATTCAGCCTTTTAAAGAATTCTCCTTTCAAGTTACGGTAACAACTTTAATTGGCAATTTAAGGTGACAATCATGATTTATTTAGCAAATACCTACAGTTAAAACTTACCAAGACATGTGATACAAAAATGGAAACTGTTTAGAGTATAACCGTTTATTTCAGAAACATGCACATGTAATTTCCTCCTTCTTTATAGAGTTTTCAAAAGTTAAGGATTTATAAATAATGTTACCTATTGAAATGACACCACACTTTAAATCATTGAGTATAAAATCATACTGCCTACATAATTATAATATAGCTGAGTACTAATTTAGGTGGAGTAACTCCTGATTGCCGACATGTAAATTTCAGTTTTATATAGCTAACTACATGGCACATGAGGTATAACAATAATATAAACCTTCAAATGCTGGCCAAAAAATGCCACACTGAACTCTTCAAAATTTAATCACTAGGCCTAAGTAATATTTTACCATTTTAACAAATGCAATCTTTATCCTATTTTCACTGATCGGTATGCTTTTCAGGAAGTGATTGGTGACTGTTCAACTTTAGGCAATCAAACTTAAATAATAAAAATTAATAAGCAATGAATAACCATGCTAAAATAAGTTATAATAAATTAGTAATATCAATTAGCAAGCAGAGCAGATAATGCAATTCAACAAAAGACATAAAAAAATCACTGAAGTAAAGAGTGCAAATAGAGAGGATTTCTTTTTTTCAGATAGAATGTGTAAATGCTGATATAATCTCTAAAGAAGTGTAAAATATACATGTAATACATGTATCAAAAGGACACTACATCTAGTTCATGCAGTTCGAGTACTTTTACATTGAGTTGAAAATTTTAATCAATACCACAGGAGTTGAACATTTAATCAATATGTCAGAACCTATCTGATGCAACCATGAAATATATGTATATGTTAAAAATTAAATTATATTTTAATGTACATTGTTTACAAATTTGTTTTCTTATCAAAACTATCCATCCCACTTCTAAAATTACAAAGTGGTCATAGCAGTATCCCTAAGAAATCACTTTAAGAATTTACACGCAGATCATAGTCAATGTTTAGAACGAAAGCACCTTATAAAGATTACACTACTTCACAGGTTGAGGACTGTAATAAATAAAATAAATATCACATAATAACACAACACAGGCGATGTCAATATGTTAAATAAAATTATATATGATTTCAACATGATTCAAACACTCACTCATCAATAAAGCAACCATCTGCTAGTGCTCGTATGGATAAATAAAAAACAACTTCAATCTCCAAAAATACATAAAGCACCTTAAGTCGTTTACACTTGATCAGAGTTCATAGAGATCAATATACAAGTACTAGTTAAGTATTCAACAAAAATGATGATCATACTTGAAATTGAATGCCTACTTTTTACTTAGATTATGCACATGCAATATTTTAAATTATCCCGCTTCAGACAAATTTGTAGATTGCTGATTGGATAAAGGCTGATCACATGACGCCCTGAAATTTTCCGTATTATGTCTCCGTCGAGGCGTAATATGAAAATCGGGCACGTGATTCCGTTCGAAGCGTTATTGTAAATAAAAATGGCGGCAAAGAAACGGTTTACGTAGGTAGTTTAGTTAAATTTCTTGTTACTGTAACGATATTCTATGTTGATTGTTATTGGATTAAACCTAATATTTTCATAATAAGCACAAACATTTTTTTATATTGAAGAAGGTCTTCAGCGGGATAAATTCGTAACACAGTCAGTTAGTGACCTAATACGGATTCATCCGTATTGGGCGAATACGGATTTCCATTTCACACCCTGTATGAATCCGTATTAGGTCACTAACTGACTGTGTAACTAATAATCCTGTGTTCTGAATTGAAGTGGAAGATATTTTGAAGAAACATAATCCAGAAAATCATCTTACTAAACAATCTCATCATTTGATACAAATAATGTTAACATGAGTTAAAGAAAATAAAGAAAAACACATGTTTAAACAAAGCTGTGTGAATTGATGCACAAAATAATGAATCATACTGTATACATGTAACAGTGCAATTAAATTTACAGTGTAGTCAACAGGAGGCCAAGGGCAATAACTCTCACCCGAGTGACATTTACACTGGCAAAAAGAATGTAACTAATAATCCTGTGTTCTGAATTGAATATTTGTGTATGTGACTTCATTGATATTTTTCTTGTAAGTATTTTGAACATAATCCAGAAAATCATCTTACTAAACAATCTCATCATTTGATACAAATAATGTTAACATGAGTTAAAGAAAATAAAGAAAAACACATGTTTAAACAAAGCTGTGTGAATTGATGCACAAATCAAATCTTAGTTAATAATGAATCATACTGTATACATGTAACAGTGCAAATTTACAGTGTAGTCAACAGGAGGCCAAGGGCAATAACTCTCACCCGAGTGACATTTACACTGGCAACAAAGACCAATGCAATTGTTTTTTGTAAATGGAATTTGCGTTCGGGAACATCTTTTTTTATTATTACACAACGATGTTAGATAACATTCAAACATGAATAGCCATTGTCATCCATTATCCATGCAAAATTATATTGATTCCTTGGAATAAACATCTCAATTATTGCCTTTTTTCAAAAAACTTTGATTTAATTTTTTTTATGATGAGATGACGAGGGAGGCACGTTCCCGTTTTTTTCACTTTTTATTGCCCCCAAAACATAAATTAAAGATAAAATACTAATGAAACCATGAAATGGGAACAGAGATCTTTTTTGAAAACATTGAAAACACAAAGCATAGCTGCTGATTTTATCTAAAAAAATTAAGATGAAACAATCAAGTGTAAATGAAGTTAGGTATGTGCATAACTTGAGGTGAAAAAAAATAATTCTCTTTGTTTTTAAATTTAATTTTATTGATTTAGCATTGAAATATAAATAAAAAATCTCAAAAATGTTTCCAGAAACAGTAGCCATTTTCACAAAAATCTTACGACATATTTTTATCTTAAGTAAAAACTTACGATAAATGTCGTTTTCACAAAAATTCTTAAGAAAGTCCATAAGTGCAAAATCTATCGTATCTTTACGAGTGCCCGTACCCTCTCTTAAGTATTTTCAAACCGATTTTATGTTAAAATATAACCACAAAAATCAAAATACACATTAAATAGAACTTGTAAAAGTGACTTCCAATTTTTTTTGGCCTTATTTTGAGAAATGATAGGAAATACATACAAAATATTTACGATTTATGTCACTTAAGATATATTTGTGTATGTGACTTTTCAAACTTCTTGTTGCACTTGTTATTTGTTATAGCATAAATATGACACCTATCATTACCAGTAAATATATTGAGATTTTGCTTGGACGAAGTACATGTATTTTGAAAGCAATTGAAAATCATTAAAAAAAACTTCAGCACATTAGTATGTCATCAAACTCTGGCAAAGTCTGGCATCTGACCTTAGATACAGTAAATGTATTATATCTAGCCTGTACAATATTTGGCAGAAATTGATTTTTGTGTTAATATCCTTAAAAGTTGTATTGAACATTAGTGTTATTTGATTAACAATTATTATAAATTTATAAAAAGATCATATAATCATTTAATTTCACGAAATGTGTAAACAAAATTGTCAGTGAGAATTTTCAGTTGGCATGTATGCAAACTGGTCAGAAAAATAAACTCTCTTAAATCAATCAGATGACTTAACAATGATTATAAAAAAAGTGGCTCTGGTGAGCTACAACAATGATTGGCAGGAGTTACTGTTCCTTCTTCTTATAACTTTTAAGCTCCACCGTTTCACTGGTGGGATCACTCATTGCTTTATTGTAAGAGGCTTTCCTGATACCACTGGGGGTTTGTTCCAAACTATTGTTTCTTTTTAATAGGTCAGGGTCACTTCCAGATTGACCTTGACCTCCATTAAGTCTTTCTGTGACCTTGCTCGGTGGATTTTCCCCCTCCTCCTCCTCCTCCTCCTCTTCTGTGTGAACTTCCTCGGAGATGGAGGTAAACATAGACTTTGTCTGTGAGAGTAATGGTCGTTTGTGGGCTTTATCACCTTTAGGGCTCCCTTTGTCAAACCGTCTGGGAGGCCTCTCGTTCTCTTCGTGAATACGATCAGGACTCTTTCGGTGGATTTCGTTTTTAATATAATGCTTATCAGGCTGGTCTTCTGGAACAGTTCTTAATCGAGGATCTGGAAGAAGAGAATTTCCGTCGATAAAATTGTCTAAATTTGCGCCGCGTAGGTTTGTCACGTCTGAGGGAGATCGGTCTCGCTGGAATTTTGGACGTTCTGGTACGGCTAGGCTGAGTCTGCGTTTGTAATTCTCCACCACTCCACGATGGTGTAAAGCTTTATTTAAAGCTTTACTAGAACCAAACGGACTATTAGACTTGGAGCCTTTGAATACTGCTCTCGACATTCTTCTATTTCTGAATTGTTTATCTTGTAGATATCGTAATAAATTCGTTGAACTATCATCTTTAAGATTTTTATCCAGCTTCCTGTGTTGTACCTACAAGTGCAAAGTCAAATCAAAATAAATCTGTGTACTTTTTGCTTTTTTTTCATTTTGGATACATGTATTGGTTTACTTTGTTAGATTGGATTGCATAATAATCAGTCTTTGCTAAGACCATCAAATATTTTTTAAAAATTGGGAATAGGTAGAAGACACCCTTTATAAAATCAGATGTGACCAATAGCTTAGGATCCATTTTACAGTAAATATCCCAGACTGAAAGTTCTACATACATCTCTGTAGGAAGGCGTAAATATATTTTTGAGTTCCTGTACTGTGGGATCCTGGGAAATTTCTGGTTTTCTCAGGAAGGCAGGAACAATGGATTTCCTTTTCATCCCTGGCTGTTTCTTCTTACTCTCCACTGTGTTATACCAAACAAACAAATTCAGAATTTCAAATTTCCTCCACTAATTGTAATATGGTTTAAAGATATAATAAAATATTTAGAACAATTTGTAAGTCATTATATTATATATAGAAGTCCGTGATGTACAAAATCTTTTTTCATCCTGTAGTTGTAAGTCATTATAGATATATAAGTACAAGTAACATAGAAGTACATGACATACAGAAGTTTTTCAGTCTGTCATTTTCCTCGTCCCAGTAGCCAGTAGGGAGCTTGTCTGGAGCTAGTGCCTGACGAACCGTGACAGCAGGAAGTACCAGGTCATCAGAACTATCACTGTTCTCATCCGATTCATCCCTACAGTAACAGGTTATAATATCAAAGACCAGGACAAAATACTCAAAATATTCCCCCAACAGGTTAAAAATTATCTTAACAGTTACTGAAAAAAAATACTGCAACATACATGTATATCACAATACAGTTAAAATATTGCATTCCTATAATAGAAGTGTTACTTACTCCGCTGCATTGTTTTCTTCCTGATGAAGCCAAGGAAAGTCGAGATTGCCATATTTGGAATTAATCATTGCACTACCTTGTAAGTTCTCAAAGTGCTGTCTAATGAGAAATGAACAAAGGGCATGCATTTTAAAAAAAAACATGTTAATAAATATTTTCAGTTATAAAACACTTGTTTATTCAAATACATTTTTCTGAAATCATTCACTTTTCTTTCAGGATTTCTTGTATTTAGAGATAATTCTTTTGAGTATTCACGTACTGTAGAGCGATTTCCTCAAAGCAAGACATGATCTGTTCATCCATACTGACCGGTTCCTTCATTAACCAAACCTTGAAGAACTTCCTGTTGTAATACTCTATTATTTCCTAAAAAAGACAAGGTGATGAGAAATGTAAGTGTACATAATCTGAGACAATTAAATATCAACTTTTCAAAAATAATGGGTATCAAGTCATAAGCCCAAGAAGATATACTGTAGAAGTACTTTTATCCGCGTGGTATTAATTTACGCTATGTACGCGGTCACAGATTTTCCGCGAAAATTTGTTCAAGCGTACTTAATATAAATGCAAGGTATATAGTGACAGTCTAGGAAATCCGCATAACTTTCTACACACGTATTACACAGAAATTGAGATTCCACGGAATTATGACCCCGTGAAAAAAAATACGTCTACAGTAAATGATTAAATCTTATCTACAGTCAAATATCATTTTCTTGGAAAAAAGATCTCAGTATCTGGTTACTCAAGATATCAAAGTCAAAAGAGACTTCTAACTTACTTAGACATATCCAGGAGATACCAAAGTCTGAGATTCCAAAGTTTTAACTGTATATGGAATCATGGATCAACCACAATTATAAATTATGTTTCACTTGTATCTCCATATGTTTCATTGAAAAAGTTACAACCAAGTCACCTTTAACTACTGTGACCTACTGGACATGCATTTGTAAATTTATTTTTTGTACACTATCTTTACTGATGAAGTACAGAAACTTAAGAAATACATACTCTGAAATAATTCTCTCCATGTTCCCCAAGGATTTCTTCTATTCCTGCCATCACATGGTCAATGACCTGAAAAATACAACAATCTCTGTCAATTAATAATCTTACACAAAGAAACCTTGCATTAGCTTGGTCACTATTAATATTTTCATTGTATAAAACAGTTTCAAATCCATTATTGATTTTGTACCTGATACAAGATTCTACACTATTACACTTTAGACTTACGTGTGAGTTGATTTCTTCTACAAGCTTTAAATCCTGTTCCTCCTGGAGTTTGATTTGTAATAATCTGACCAACGGCTTAATAGATATACCCTAAAACAGAAATTTTAGTAAATTATGTATGTTCCTTTACAGTACAACTCAGTTATAAAGAATTTGCTTACAAGGAAATCTCAGTTATAAAGAATCTTTTGTGATCTCACTTGAAGACTTTTCACCATGTTCTTTATATACAATCTTGGTCAAAAGAAGCTAAATTCCTTAGATTCAAATTTTACTGTATATACACTTCATTTTCATTTCATTTTATATCCTCTCATGAATATACATCTATATTATTTCTGTTTCATAATCCCAGTTCTGTTTCACATTCAAAAGAAAACAACACAAAAAAATCTAACCTGAACAAATACAGTGAAGAAGATAAGAGCCAGACAAGTTGTCATAAAGATATCCTTGTTTTCTTTGAAGTCTTCATGGCTCAGTAAATCAACAAGGGAAAAAGCTACAGCTCCACGGAGACCCCCATAGGCCTAGTAAAAAAATGGTCAAACAAATCAACTACATGTATTTTTTCCATGACAGACTTTATTAACTTGACAAGGAATGTATATCCATATAGATATTTTTTTTAAGCTGATATTTATAGTGAAATTTTTTTTAGGTGAGCCAATTCTCTTGTAATTCAGTAGTTAAAAAGAACTTCTATTTCGTAACAAACTACAAACCATGATAAATTTTTCCACATTTTTGATTTTTCTCATCCTGTTAGATCTGTTTATAATCCAAGTAAGACAAAACACCACTGTAAAAAAAGTTTTGCTCCATTAATAAAAGATACAGGTATAAAGTAAATGCAGAAGTATTAGAATTCTCAATCCACATTTTGAGATACAAGGAAAGATCAGCACAAATATGAGACACTCTTAACTCAGTGGATCATTTAAAACACACTTTTAGTGAATGGATGCTTATAGTGAATCGATTTTGATTCCCCCTGGCTTAAAAATAAACTAAACAAATATAACAAAGTATGATTATAACAAAGCAAAATTGTACATCCCTGATATTTGATTGTAAGCAAGTTTTACTGTATATAATTAAATTAATTTGCTACAGATACTGACCCAGAAATCTGTATAAGAGACAGAGGAATAATGTCCACAATATAAGTTCCCATCTCCAGTGGCTGAGGTTCATAATCTCACAGTTAAACAGACCAATACCCAGGAACAGGAAGATAATACAGTCACTCAGGGCACTGAAACCAAAATCATATTCAATTTAAATTATGACAGATACAGACATGTCAGTATGAAAGATTTGCTTATGTTCATTTCTTAAATTGTAAACTGATCTAAAATGCAATTTTTTTTTTATCCTGCTCACATATATAAGTGGAAGTTTTAGAACATATATGAATAAAAATATTATCATTTAATATTAGGGCTACTTGAACATTTGTGGAAGGGAAGGGAAGTATCATCCCTTCAATAAAGCTCTAATACATGTATATAGTAAAATCATGATCACATTTTATCTACCTTTGTTGAGAAAAACAAAACAAATCATGACACTGCAAGGCAGAGAATCCTGCAAGACATGGCTTTTCTCAGAGTACCATTTCTCATCCAAATGAGTCAAAATGGTCTTTTCACAAATAACAAATACTAATCAGTGTCCTTGACACTGATCTTTAGGACCTAGAATTTAAGGTTTTTTTTTTTCAAGACCTATCACAGCCCCTGTAGCAACTATCAGACTAAGAGGTCATGTTGTCTCTTTATTGTACACACAAAATTTTTTACATTTTTAGAGCCTCAGTGACCTTCACATTGACCATCAAATGTATAGGCATGTTTCACAAGTCATATACTGTATATACTCGCCTATAAGTCAGATTTTTGGGAGTAAAACTTTGGTCCAAAATCCATTGTCCAACTTATAGGCAAGTTATAAAAAAAACGGTATTTTAAAAGGTTATTTCCTCTAATATAAGCTTCAAAAGTACAACCGACTTATAAGCGGACCGACTTATAGGCAAGTATATATGCAGACCTTTGGACAAAGTTTTAATTGAGACTATAAGAGATCAATTGTAATGAGAACACTCTCACTTTATTCTGTAATTGGACCTTGACCTTTTGACCTTCACATAAGTAACCTTAGTTCTCTTTTTGTTATGGTTCTCATACAAACATCTGTTTCTCTGGCCACTTACTGTCATGACTGTTACAATGTAATGATAGATAAATAAAATTCTAATGACCGTCTTTTATCTGTTTTGAAACTTACCTCTGCATTTTACTGAAGTATGTGATAGTAGTATGGGATTTCTGTGATATGTTATGGAATGCATAGTGGGCCTGTGTCAGTCCACAGCCAATCAAACTAAAAAGGAAAATTGTCACAAATTACCAAAACATCAAACTGAAAGTAAAATTGTCACAAGTTACCAAAACATCTGAAAGTATCTGAAGTAAATAGCTAATTTTTTACTTTCATTTATCTTGTTAGCAGAATAATTTGTATTTTCATTATCAATGCTTTAAATACTTTTTGTTGCATTATCCCCTTTTAAGAATTACTATGCTTAGAGTTTAACAGTAGAATGAACAATACTATTTGTCAAATAACGTCTTATTATAATTGAAGATTTTCAAATGAATAGTAGGTAACTATATTTTGAAAACAAATACTGGTATATATTTATCAAAAAGGAAGGACTGCAAAATAAACTATATCCTTATGTCAGTTGACTTACCCAATAATACCTGAGAAATGGAATAATTCTGCCACAAGGTAGGAGATGTAAGCTAAGACAAACACGGCTAAAGGCTCTACAACTGAAACAGAAGAGTCGAGTTCAACTATCATTATCACAAACCAATCAATTACTGTAAACCAACTTTTATTCGCGACGACTTTATTTCGCGATTAACCAGGAGTAAACTAGTTAGCGACGACTAATTTTCGCGATCAAGCCTTTTTTGATCACGGAGATGTACTTTAAATCAAAATTATTCGCGATGACTTAACTATATAGCATCGTGAAAATTTCTCGCACGCGAATAAAAGTTGGTTTACAGTACCTCCCTTAACTATATAGCATGGAAAAAACAATCTGATAGGGTTACTTATTACGGAGTTCTGGGATTTCGTTAAGAAGATGTTCTTATTAGGAAAACCTGCACATGATTGGATTATTTCTGATTAGCTCTTGGCTTTAATTACTGTCTGTCTGGCTGGAGAAATGATTGACACAGCCTAACTTAGCTCATAAATTGGATTATATTCATCTGACAATCACTACTAAATTATATTACTTTACACTTGATTTTGCTGTTCAAGTCTTATTTGCTGAAAAAATTGCTCTCAACTTTATCAAAATTTATGAAAAAGACAAAAGAAGTCAAATGCTGAATGAGCTAGACCAGGCTTGATTTACCTCGTACAGCACTGGTGTACTTGGTAATGATGACTTACCTCGTACAGTACTGGTGTACTTGGTGATGATGACTTACCTCGTACAGTACTGGTGTACTTGGTGATGATGACTTACCTCGTACAGTACTGGTGTACTTGGTGATGATGACTTACCTCGTACAGTACTGGTGCACTTTGTGATGATGACTTACCTCGTACAGTACTGAAGCACTTGGTGATGATGACTTACCTCGTACAGTACTGGTGTACTTGGTGATGATGACTTACCTCGTACAGTACTGGTGTACTTGGTGATGATGACTTACCTCGTACAGTACTGGTGTACTTAGTGATGATGACTTACCTCGTACAGTACTGGTGCACTTGGTGATGATGACTGACCTCGTACAGTACTGGTGTACTTGGTGATATGATGACTTACCTCGTACAGTACTGGTGTACTTGGTGATATGATGACTTACCTCGTCAGTACTGGTGTACTTGATGATGATGACTTACCTCGTACAGTACGGGTGTACTTGGTGATGACGACTTACCTCGTACAGTACTAGTGTACATAGTGATGATGACTTACCCCGTACAGTACTGGTGTACTTGGTGATGGTACCTCGTACAGTACTGGTGTACTTGGTGATGATGACTTACCTCGTACTTGGTGATGATGACTTACCTAGTACAGTACTGGTGTACTTGGTGATGATGACTTACCTCATACAGTACTGGCGTACTTGGTGATGATGACTTACCTCGTACAGTACTGGTGTACTTAGTGATGATGACTTACCTCGTACAGTACTGGTGCACTTGGTGATGATGACTTACCTCGTACAGTACTGGTGTACTTAGTGATGATGACTTACCTCGTACAGTACTGGTGCACTTGGTGATGATGACTTACCTCGTACAGTACTGGTGTACTTAGTGACGATGACTTACCTCGTACAGTACTGGAGTACTTGGTGATGATGACTTACCTCGTACAGTACTGGTGTACTTAGTGATGATGACTTACCTCGTACAGTACTGGTGTACTTGGTGATGATAGCCGTCAGTACACCAAAGAAAATCCCGATAAACAGGCCGCCAAGGCTTACAATAAAGAACGACACTAAACCTTTAACCACCTACAATTATAACATACAGTCATTAACATTGATAAAAAAACATTCTAAATATGCAATAGGAAGACAGTTTAAGGGCTTCAGAGTGTCTGTATTTGGGACGGCTTAATAACTCCATTCCCAATGCAAATTCAGTTATTTACATTTTTTTTTTCAAGAAGTGAAACAAACATACAATGCTTGAGGCTAAGGTGAGCTAAAAGTAAATATTGAATAAAACATCTCTTTGTGTGTATCCAGTAAAATACTATAAGAAACCTAACCTACTTTTTAATTCTGGTTTAAGCATTTGCAGAAATTTTTTCATAGGAATTGATTTCTGCATGTGCCTATTAGCATATAATCTGCAGATCGATGTTTAAAATATTCCATACTCAATGCAGAATTATAAAATCTCCAATATTTGCTCTATGGGTTCTCAGGCTATGAGAATTTACAACAAAAATTTGAAATATGTCAAAGGAAAAAACCAATTTGTCTTAATCAAATAGATGTACTTGTACTAATGTAACCTTTTTGAAATGATATCTTTGTTTTTCAAAGGGATGATTAAAGTCTTCTAGGTACAAACTTAGTAATTAAATCACTGTACGTTAAATGACTTTGATTTTGTGACTAACGATCTTAATTAAAATTTGACTTCCTAGATGTGCCAAGTAAACCCAACTCCTCTTCATCCACTATAGTTCTAAGGAATCCAATTTCAAAGACAAGGTAAACAATTAACTTCAATCTTATATCTACATGAATAACAGTTTCATTACAATCAAACAAACCGCTTAAATACACAGATATTGTATTAAGTAAGATCTTAGATTGCTCTCTGTTCAGTTCTACCTCTATAGGAGGAATGGTTTCCATCTTGTTAAATTCTTGCATCATATTGTACAGCACCACTGTTACAGCATCTGTATAAACAGAAAACATTCCTATATATACTTAACAGATATAAATGCATAACTGTGAAAGCAAAATAAGACTTTCAGCAAAACATACAAACAAAATATGACTTGCGAATTGACAAAGTTGTAATGGGTCTCTAATGATAAATGGTGTCTTTTTTTTCAAACAATTAAGAAAGAAAAGAATTATACAAAAATTGGAAACATTTTGTAACTTTTTCATGATCTGTTCAAATTTTCAAAGGATATATGAAAAACTATTTTGTTGAAGTGATTACTAAATTATTCATTCCTTTTATTAATAAATATATTCTTGGGAATAAAAAAAAGTCCTTCCGTCTATGTGTATGTATACAATGTATGTAGATTATAATGGTCTGAGATTGTTGACATAGTACAATGGGAATGGTTGTACAAATACTCTGTATATGCCAGTTCTATTGTTCTTACCATTAAAGAGTGATTCTCCAAACACCAAGAAGTATAAGACGTTGTTAACACCCACTTCTTGGAAGATGGCCAGCACCTAAACAGACAAATAATGGATTGAATCCCTAAATAACCGACTATTGAATTAAAATAGAATGATGCATTGCCGTCTAAGGATTTCAGCTTAACCTTCCTCACTTTCAAATGAATAAAACTGAAAAACGGAGCACTACAATCCATAAACTGCACTGGCGTCTCTGATGCCGATATTTTACAAGAAAATTATGGTTTGTTAATAATTTTTGGTTTTCTATTACCAGAAATGCTTGCTTTAGCATAACGGAACAAACAAATTAATTTACCATTTAAAAAAAAAAACTAGAAGGATTACTTTATCAAGCAATAAGCCCAGCCACTGTCAACTTTAATGTTATAAAAATTTAGAATTATTTTAAAAGGAATATGAAGGGAGAAACTGGGACAGAATTGACAGGGAATTGAACCTGAGTCCTCGCAGGATATGTGCTCTATGAGAGGAGCTATGTGGACAGTGGAGAACATTAATCTGCTTGATTGTCCCACACTCCTCCCTACTTCAAATGTCTTCACTCCCAACAGACAGTGAAATTCAACCCTGGCCCATCCTCAGCAGATTTTTAGGGCATGACAATGGGTGACCAGGCACTGTAGCTCTCTGGAGGTCCATTCCATTAGTTTTTAGAGCAATGTGCTACAGATCTGCAGCCAATTGCCTGGCTGCACAGCAAACAAATCTACCAGGACAGAACCTGGCTGAATAAATGTCTGGAAGCAAACCCATTTAGAGGCAAGCATGTAGGATAGCACAAGTTCATTGAGGGACAATATGCTCAGTTTCTAAAGCATAAGTGAAAGAACCTTGAGGTTCAAAAGCTGGCCCCCTTGTTAATTATTCAGTTTATTTAAATTGCAAGGATAGAAGAATAGGCAATTTTTTCAATACTCGATGCCTTTGTCAGTATAACAAAGGATACGGGTCATGCTTCTTGCTTTGCAGAATTGATTAATTTCAAGGAGTGAATTCTTACAAGTTTCTGGTACAACTCTGACAAAACTTGTTAGTTGTACAAATTCTCTAGTCCACAGGGAATTAAATTTTTGATGACTGTTGTCTTTTTCTGATTAATGTAAAACACAGGAAAGACCCAGAGTGACAAGGTGTCACAAAAGCTTTCCTGTATTATATTAAATTCAATTGTTTATTCCTACCATTTTCTCCCTGGGATATAAAGGTTCAGAAAATCAGCTATTGATTGCTGCAATCTATAGTTCCTGTTGAGCTCTTCATAAAAATGCCAATGTTAATGAGAAAAAATAATTCTCAACAAAAAGAGAACAAAATTCTCATCAAAAAGTCATTAGAAATAACTCCTTGAGTTGGCATTAGAGACTTAGAGAATAAAAAAATATCATCAAGTATAAAACACTTGTGAACTTATCAATGATCGACTCCAAGAAATGCACAAAAAGAAATAAAAAATGTGTCCCACGAATATATAACCAATGAATTTGAAATGCCATTGATTAAATTTTCTCCAAAATTAATAGACTAGAAAAGCTTTCAAATTGGATTCTTATAAATATATTCAATTTTTCTTAATACACAGCACTTTTCACAGTATATTTTGGGGAAACAATCTTTCTGAATCAATGCTAGATACAGCAAATTCATAAAAATAATTTTGGTAAAATTAGATTGTGGAATCTTTACATGGAAAAGGAATTGAAAACTTGCTACAAACCCTGATTATTATGACAATTTAAAATACTTACTGCGACAGGATCCACAGCGACAATGATGGCACTGAACACAAGACACGGCATCAGACCTAAATGTAGAGACCCCATACCACCAAGGGAAGAGGCCGCGTAGAGAGAGGGGCCTGTCAATGTAAAAAATAAATATACACAAGACACGGCATCAGACCTAAATGTAGAGACCCCATACCACCAAGGGAAGAGGCCGCGTAGAGAGAGGGGCCTGTCAATGTAAAAAATAAATATACACAAGACACGGCATCAGACCTAAATGTAGGGACCCCAAACCACCGAGGGAAGAGGCAGCATAGAGAGAGGGGCCTGTCAATGTAAAAAATAAATATACACAAAACACAGCATCTAATGAAGAGACACCATACCACCTAAGGATTCTCCATAAAAATTCTGCTACGACCTTAACCTTTTGACCAAGACACATGGTTCAAGGTCACAGCACACCTTTACCCAAAGGCCCTCTGTGAATGAAGTATGAGCCAGATTGGGCTACGGAGAGAAAAGAGGTGTTTCGGACAAGAATTTAAACAGAGAGGCTATTTTTGACCTAAACCCTTGATCTAGAAACTTTGTTCAAGGTCACTGCACATCCATTGACCATTGCACTTTGTGAATAAAGTATGAGCCACACTGGACCAAGGGAAGAGAAGATATGCTCCGGACAAGGATAATTCATATCTATTTATATTTCATATATATATATATATAAGACAAATTTGAATTGTTGAGCTTGATGCCAATAATCAGTTGTGCAACGATTGCAGAATTAACTACAATTTACAAAATACATCTAAGATGAAAATTAATTTCCCTGTCAGATAGGCTGGTGTCCTAAACCATTCTCCTGGAAAAATTTAAGTTCAGTGAACTTGCATTGATGACAATCTTATTTTCCACCAGTTTAGACTTGTGCACATCTTCAAAGAATGATTAGTAATAATGAAAACTTGATTATGTTAGAAGTTTTAGGAATGCAGTGATTTTGTTACCATTATTATGGGTAATTTTAGTTAGTTAATATCTCCTGTCAGTTTTTTCAAACGTTTTGCCACACGGTCCGATTTTTCTCTGATAAGTTTGTCGACCGCCTCTTCACCTACTGTGTCTCAAGTCTTAATTGTTTCACGACAATTTACCACATTTTGTATGATTGAGAAATCTCATGAATTGTTAATCAATTTTTTTTGTCCAGAGTGACTTACCAATTAGGAAGCAGTTAAGCACCGTGCCCTGAAAATCAATGGGACTTTTATTCAGCAACATAGAAAATCAATTTACTGTCAAATGCAACATAATTAATACCTGACATAACTAAGAAATTCACAAAATTGTGGTTTGCTGACAACACATACTTTACAAATGCCTTTATGGATGTAAAATAGCGTGTCGAAAAGTTACACAGTTAAACCTCAATATCTAGAACTCAAACTGGACTGAGAATAATGTAAAAAGTATTCATAGACATATAAATCTACATAAAAGAATTCATCAGAAAACTTAATTCATTTTGTTGCTTGGATGAGAATGAAACTTATCAAAGACAAATAATTCAGCCAGCTTCTGTTGTTACTACACGTGAGGAATATGTTACATACTCACTATTACTGCAAAAATGATGACACTGCCAACATTCTCAAAAAATGTACGGTCATGTAGACTGTAGGCTGACTCCAAAATAATGCTGAAAAAAGAGAACAATTTCAGTGATTTTGTTTGAAGATCATTTATTTCTTCACTTCTTTTTGAGATAGCACTATTTTTTTTTTCAACTACAAAAACTAGTAACAGAGCTGTGTGGTTGTGAAGATGTTCAATATTTAGAACAAAATTAAGATCCGAAGGGTCTTCATGTTCATTTGTTCATTATGGAAGTAAGAGGATGCTCACTCCTACATGGCACCTGATCCCACCTCTGTTGTTTTGGAGGTCCGTGTTTGCTCTGCCCCTATTTTGTGTTGTTTTATGGACTTTTGATCTTGAATATTCTGTTCATTATCTCCATATTTTTCCTTTACAAATAGGTTCATGGCAAAGCTTAAACGGTAAAATTAGATAGGGACTATAGGTTTCCTTTGAGTCTGTCTGTCTGACTGTCACTCTGTCTGTTCTTCTTGGCTTTCTACATTTTTTCCCTAAATGCTTGCAGATATTAAGCTGATTTTTGGTATGCCAGTGTATTTTGATGAGTTGCAGATTGAGTTTGCATTTTGTTCCGCTTCATTGATTTTTGACAGAATTATGGCATTTTTAACTTTTTATGATTGGGTTCACAATCGCATTTGAGCTGCACTTAATTTATAATCCAATGAGATTGTCATGTTAGTTAAATAACTTGCTGGGTAGCTTTATACTGACAAACCATTGATCAAGTTTGATTTTTTATAAAATTGTATTTTAACCATGTTTAATGTGTTGACTTTTGATCAAAGCATACATATATGTCTAATGTCAATCACGTCTTCCTTTGTAAAGCAGACTGACTTAATTCCAAGACATTTCATTCAAAGACAAGTAATTACCAAAATGACCACATTCTGGGGGCATTTTCCATATAAAAGATCTTAAAGGAGATCAGGGTAGGGGACAATTGTACTACTTATGCAATACTTGATTTGCTCTCTCTTATAATGTTTTCTGTCTTTTCATAAAAAAAAATTTGTTTTGCAATTCATTCTTTTAAAGCCTCAGTCAATTGATATCATTCAATATTAAAATTATGCAATACTTTTATTTAAGATTTGAGCACTAAATTTCAAATACAGGTTTACTTTTGAGAAAATTTGAAGACCTCAATTTTGATATTGCTCCTGTCCTGACAGGGATAGGAATAAATTCTATAAAGCCTTACAAGGGAAATCGGAATAAGATATTGTATATTAAGATTAATCAAAGTATAAGATATCGTGCATTAAGATTAATTCCATGTCACTGAATTTTAAAAAAACGAGATAATGAGAACATGCAGAGTTTGAATTTCTCTAATTGGCCATATTATCATTAAGGATGTGTAGGGAGATAAACCATTTATCGATTTTCAGAGTGAATAACTGATCAGACTGTTTACTAATTTCAGGGAAACTGAAGGATTGTCAGGACTATCTGGCATTATCACGGTACTACGTAATCTAAATGGCATGAAAATAGAACCTCACAGAATGACTGCTTAAGATCACATAAGGATTTCCATTACCACCTCTGTCTTTTATCTCTCCTGATTTACTGGGACCTCGTCCCATCAGATTTACAGCTCCTCATTGATCTTCTCCTAGTTTCACTTATTGTAGAATACCTTTTTCCTTCTAGAAAAAATATTCATGACTCTGATTTCTAAAGCAGAGCATATATTGTGAATTTCAAGATGCTACTAAAGTTTTGATGAAAAATAAGTTTGCTACTGCAGAAAGGATTGGTTAGATGGTTAACCCAAGAAAAGCGATCATTACAATTATACCCGAAAGCAGAAACATTTTGACATTTTATATTATTATTATAATAATTAACACAAACTGAAAAAGTGAGAAAATCCCCACTCCTGCTATATCATTATAATACATAAAATGCAGAAAACCTCTTCCTGTCTTTGAACTGCATAGAAAACAAGAGGCCCATGGGCCACATCGCTCACCTGAGCACTAAGGGTAGAAAAAAGTAGAAAATGGTTTTTTTATTGTAAAGTTTAAATCCAAAAGTAGTTCCATGACCAATCATGGATTTGCTATTTTTTAGAAAATGATTTTTAAAGAATTTTCCTATATATATCTTTGAAAACTTTGGCCGGCCATTTTGGCCCCGCCTTACCCCCGGGGGTCATGATTTGAACAAACTTGAATCCACACTACCTGAGCATGCTTCCATATACAGTAAATATGATGAATTATGGCTTTGTCATTCTTGAGAAGAAGATTTTTAAAGAATTTTCCTATATATTTCTATGTAAAACTTTGGTCGGCCATTTTGGCCCCGCCCTACCCCCGGGGGTCATGTTTTGAACAAACTTGAATCTACACTACCTGAGCATGCTTCCATATAAATATGATGAATTATGGCTTTGTCATTCTTGAGAAGAAGATTTTTAAAGAATTTTCCTATATATTTCTATGTAAAACTTTGGTAGGCCCTGTCCTACCCCCGGGGGTCATGATTTGAACAAATTTGAATCTACACTACCTGAGCATGCTTCCATATAAATATGATGAATTATGGTTTTGTCATTCTTGAGAAGAAGATTTTTAAAGAATTTTCCTATATATTTCTATGTAAAACTTTGGTAGGCCCTGTCCTACCCCCGGGGGTCATGATTTGAACAAATTTGAATCTACACTACCTGAGCATGCTTCCATATAAATATGATGAATTATGGCTTTGTCATTCTTGAGAAGAAGATTTTTAAAGAATTTCCTATATATTTCTATGTAAAACTTTGGTAGGCCCTGTCCTACCCCCGGGGGTCATGATTTGAACAAACTTGAATCTACACTACCTGAGCATGCTTCCATATAAATATGATGAATTATGGCTTTGTCATTCTTGAGAAGAAGATTTTTAAAGAATTTTCCTATATATTTCTATGTAAAAATTTGGTCGGCCATTTTGGCCCCGCCCTACCCCCGGGGTCATGATTTGAACAAATTTGAATCTACACTACCTGAGCATGCTTCCATATAAATATGATGAATTATGGCTTTGTCATTCTTGAGAAGAAGATTTTTAAAGAATTTCCTATATATTTCTATGTAAAACTTTGGTCGGCCATTTTGGCCCCGCCCTAACCCCGGGGGTCATGATTTGAACAAATTTGAATCTACACTACCTGAGCATGCTTCCATATAAATATGATGAATTATGGCTTTGTCATTCTTGAGAAGAAGATTTTTAAAGAATTTTCCTATATATTTCTATGTAAAACTTTGGTCGGCCATTTTGGCCCCGTCCTACATGTACCCCCGGGGGTCATGATTTGAACAAACTTGAATCTACACTACCTGAGGATGTTTCTCCATAAGTTTCATCTTTCCTGGCACAGTGGTTCTTGAGAAGAAGATTTTTAAAATATGCCACCAAATTTTCATTTATTCCCAATTATCTCCCCTTGAATGAGGGCGTGGCCCTTCATTTGAACAAACTTGAATCCCCTTCACCCAAGGATACTTTGTGGCAAGTTTGGTTGAAATTGGCCCAGCGGTTCTTGAGAAGAAGTCGAAAATGTGAAAAGTTTACAGACAGACAACGGACGCCGGACAAAATGTGATCAGAAAAGCTCACTTGAGCTTTCAGCTCAGGTGAGCTAAAAATTGTGTGCTAATTTTGGCTTATTTTATTGGTTTGGTGGTGTAGCCTGCCAAAATTATCACTCAATTTGCACCCTTGCATATAAGTGCAAAATACAAGAAAAATTATAACTTTGATCAGCCTTTTGTTCAACATTCAAACTTCCATCTGGTATTGAATTTCACTCAAACTCGTTGGTAAATATATGTATTAAAACAAGTGAAAAGGCATCTACTAGATGAACTTTTCTTTTGCATCATGCAACTCTGTGTCCAACAAAAAAGTTCTGCCAAAAGTTTAATTAGCAAACCTTTGAGAAAACAAAACACCAGATGTTATCATACCCCTAAAGAAATCTGCTATATGGTATATTGCACAAAGTAAAAAGCAGGAAAAGCACTGATATCTATCACAAAAGACCAAATGTTTAAACAGAGAGCCTACTGATGGCTGACATTTTGTTCTACCAAGTGACAAAGTGGAATGACCCATTGATAAATTACTACTGTAGACCAAAGTGACAAAGTCTGAAATCTCACAGAGTGCCCATTGCTATAGACCACAAGAATAACTTCTGGACAAAAGGACACTGGGGAATATCCTAACTCACTGCATTATACCAAGGTTCAAATGGGAACAAATATCATGGATCATAGCATTACGTGAAAGGACATAAAAGTAAGTTTGAAAAACTTGCTGCCATCCAGGAAGAAAACACTCAAGCAGTCCATTATATTAAATTTCTATAAACTGAACTATCAAGATATACCCAGGTATATCATAATTATAAACCACTGTAATAGACCAAGTGTCCCAAATACAAGAATGTTCTTTTTACTAATCAGAAAACAGTGGCTGGGCTTTTTGGATCACTTTGACATATCAAAGGTAATTCCAGATATAGAGTTTGATATATCAAATTCAACTGTCATGAAAGGTATATCTAAAATTTATAACTTTAAACATTACTAATTTAGTCATATTTTAATTTATTGATCATTCGTTAATATCATGGTAGAATGATAAATTAATTATGTTCTTTGAATATTTGACAGCTGTTAAAATCAAGTGCACTTGAATAGGTAAACTGAGGGAACTGCCTATACAGTAAAATTGGAGTTGGATGCAATAAATTCTTATTATTTTGAAAGACTAGCTTTTTCTACAAAACAAAACAAAAAAAAACTTTGGATGTATCCTGGGGGACAATAGAGCTATCAAAGGAACAATTTAAGAAATAAATTAGAAATACAAGACAATGGAAAAAGTAGTGCTGGGAGAGAACAAGGATTTATATAGTGTGTAGGATTTGGTTGTACTCACTCCCTGGTGTAACAGTATTGTGTGCCACAAAACAATTGGAGAAAGATTCCCCAGTCTAATTTAAGCCTGAAGCATTAATCAAGCAGTTCTGTTCCTCTGTGAACACTAAATTATTTACTTTCTCAAGTCGTTCCTTGAACAATATTGTCTTATGAAACAATTTCTTTCCTAGAATTTTGGTTTCCAAACATGTTTCAGCACCAGACAGACACTGGGAATTTTAAGACCATCAGAACTGTTAAGTCTTTGGTTCACACAGAAGAGAATACAGCACACAATTTAAAAAATTTCCAAGTTCTAAATACATGTGTATCACTTAATTGTTTTACATTCTTAGGTTTGAAATACCAATTATGTTCTGTTTGGAAATATAAGTCACATTCAGGTATACAGAACACCAATTCATTCAGTGCTTGAAATAGAAATCTGTTTTACATGAAGTGAATTTGAGAAAAAATCAGAAACTAGAGGTATTGTGAGCAAGCTCACAAAATAACAACCCCACTGCATGTTTTTTTGAAAGTGTTCAATCAATATTTGTAAATGTAACCTTGAACTTGCCAAAAAGCTCTTGGTTAAAAAATCTTATAGTGAAAGTTTCTCTTTTCGAAAATTCAAGACCTGTCTCAATTTAACACTTTTTATACCAATGACCTTAAACTTGCCAGATTGACCATTGATCAAGGTCAAGACACTACTCATGTCATAAAAAACCTTTGTACCCACTAAGAGCTTCCAGTGATTCTCCATTGATAAATTATAACCTGGATAAGAATTTTAATCTTTTTCTGCACATAACCTTGACTTGGTCAAGGTCATGACATACTTTCAGGTCAATTTTTGTTCTTCATACAATTTTTGTACCAAGTATGTGCATTTTACTATTTTTTCATTATGAAGTTGTAGCCTAGACAATAATTTTTATACTTTTTCCTGTCAGTGACTTTGAAAAGTTTGCCAGAATGACTTTGGCCAGGGTCAGGTCAAGACATATTTTTGGGTCAGAAGCAATCCCTGTACTAAGTATGATTTTTCAGTGATTTTTCACTATAAAGTTATATCTTCGAGAAGTTTGCATACACAGACATAGGAAGGAAAAGGTGATTCCTATATATGTTACACCCCTTCTCTCTCCCCTACCCTTTTAACACTGAGAGTGACCAGGATAGTAGACAGAGAGAAAATAGGCTATACTTACGGGGGTAGTAGACATAGAGAGAATAGGCTATACTTACGGGGGTAGTAGACATAGAGAGAATAGGCTATACTTACGGGGGTAGTAGACATAGACACAATAGGCTCTACTTACAGGGGTAGTAGACACAGTAGGCTATACTTACGGGGGTAGTAGACATAGACACAATAGGCTATACTTACGGGGGTAGTAGACATAGACACAATAGGCTATACTTACGGGGGTAGTAGACATAGAGAGAATAGGCTATACTTACGGGGGTAGTAGACATAGAGAGAATAGGCTATACTTACGGGGGTAGTAGACACAGAGAGAATAGGCTATACTTAAGGGGGTAGTAGACACAGAGAGAATAGGCTATACTTAAGGGGGTAGTAGACATAGAGAGAATAGGCTATACTTACGGGGGTAGTAGACATAGAGAGAATAGGCTATACTTACGGGGGTAGTAGACAGAGAGAGAATAGGCTATACTTACGGGGGTAGTAGACACAGGAAGAACAGACTGGAGGTCATGGATATAGCCTGCTTGGGCTCTCTATGCTCCACATTGACATCAGCCAATTCTGAGACGTTCCCTCCAACCTCTGGCTGTGGCTGTGTACAGTTCGCCGACTCCATTGTTTGGCTTTAATACAAAGAAAAGTTATATGTCCTTAAAATATTGTTATCAAGATGATTGTGTATTAATCTGATACTTTTATTTTTTTATGAAGAATATTTAATGTATACAATTTTCACACTGTTATTAACAAACAGGCACAGACAATAAACATGAAAAGAAAGGGAAGTGATGATAAAATTGTTTAAGAATATAGTTATTGATGTGGTATTAAGTATCTCAATAACTGCTAGCTGTCAAAGAACCACAATAGTTTTTTTTTAAACTTCTTTCCTATTTTTCATTATGAAGTGGAGTACAAATCTGTAACCAGTCCTACACACTTACCTCATGATAGCCCCGACAATGATACCCAGGATAATTAGGAGGCTGAAACAGAGAATAAAGGGGATCAATTTACTTCAGAAGACATTGATCAGGATTTAGCCATCATATTTAGAGATTCATTTTACAAGAAAACTTAAAAGATCACAGATCAAAGATTTTAGCTGATGGAAAATTCATGCAAATTAATTATTCTGTAAAAGTTCCTTGTATGTCATAAATTTTAGATCAAATTTTGTAACTGCACTGTTTTTGGAATGATTGGCACTGTGTAATTCATGGACTGGAGGTAGTGAGTGGAGTGTTTTGACTGGAAACTCCACTTCAAACCTCTAGTCCATGAACTACATGGTGCCCTTACAATCGGCTTAAATAAAAGGCTCCAGCATTAGAAAAACTGTTTGTCAAAGTTTTTGAATTCCATGCAGGTATTCCATTAAATAGAAAGATATGGTTTGCTCTGTTAGCTCATGTAGAGTTTGTTTTTGTCTTTAGGCAAAAGAATATTTTAAATTTTAATTCAATTTGCCTCCCTCCTAGAACGATAAATTCCCAATCTCGTTCTACTGGTCAACTGATCTAATGATTTCTATTGGTCAGTTAATCTAGTTCTATTGGTCAGTTAATCTAGTTCCATTGTTCAGTTGATCTAGTTCTATTGTTCAGTTGATCTATTTCTATTGATCAGTTGATCTAGTTCTATCGTTCAGTTGATCTAGTTCTATTGTTCAGTTGATCTAATTCTATTGTTCAGTTGATCTACTTCTATTGATCAGTTGATCTAGTTCTATTGGTCAGTTGATCTAGTTCTATTGGTCAGTTGATCTAGTTCTATTGGTCAGCTTATCTAGTTCAATTGGTCAGTTGATCAATTTCTATTGGTAAGCTGATCTAGTTCTATTGGTCAGTTGATCTACTTCTATTGGTCAGCTGATCTACTTCTATTGATCAGTTGATCTAGTTCTATTGGTCAGTTGATCTACTTCTATTGTTCAGTTAATTGATCTAGTTCTATTGTTCAGTTGATCTACTTCTATTGGTCAGCTGATCTAGTTCTATTGGTCAGTTGATCTCATTCTATTGTTCAGTTGATCTACTTCTATTGTTCAGTTAATTGATCTAGTTCTATTGTTCAGTTGATCTACTTCTATTGGTCAGTTGATCTAGTTCTATTGGTCAGCTGATCTAGTTCTATTGGTCAGTTGATCTAGTTCTACTGGTAAGCTGATCTAGTTCTATCGTTCAGTTGATCTAGTTCTATTGTTCAGTTGATCTAGTTCTATTGGTCAGCTGATCTAGTTCTCTTGTTCACTTGATCTGTTCTATAGGTCAGCTGATCTAGTTCTATTGTTCACTCGATCTAGTTCTATTGTTCAGTTGATCTAGTTCTATTGTTCAGTTGATCTAGTTCTATTGGTCAGTTGATCTTGTTCTATTGTTTAGTTGATCTAGTTCTATTGGTCAGTTGATCTAGTTCTATTGGTCAGTTGATCTAGTTCTATTGATTAGTTGATCTAGTTCTTTTGGTCAGTTGATCTAATTCTATTGGTCAGTTCATCAACTTCTATTGGTCAGCTGATCTAGTTCTATTGATCAGTTGATCTAGTTCTATTGGTCAGTTGATCTAGTTCTATTGGTCAGTTGATCTAGTTCTATTGGTCAGCTGATCTAGTTCTATTGTTCAGTTGATCTACTTCTATTGGTCAGTTGATCTAATTCTATTGGTCAGTAGAAGTAGTTTCATTGGTCAGTTGATCTAGTAAAGGCTTCTTATGGTCTTTTCGATTAATCTATGATATTGAAAAGCAGCTTGATCTAGACATGTGCCCAACCATTTTTTTTTTGTTCTATTACATGTAACACTTATTGATTCGGTTGGTGGACTATTTTGTGATATATTATTGTCCTTTTAATATAGAATATCAGCATGCTACATCTGTATGTTGATGGCTTCATCTAATTTGATCAAGAAATCCTACCACATTTATCATAAGATGCTTTTAGTTTTGGCTTAATTTAGAGGGTGTGGGATTGGTAGCACGTTTCTAGTTTATTAATTTCTTGATTGGATTACAATAATTCAAGAATAAAATAAAGATTGAAGCCAAATAAAAGCCTGGTCCCAGTGTGGACAGTCCATATGTACTTGCAGACCCTAGATCAATAATATTTATAGGTTTTTGGCATGATGAAGTAATAAACAGTAGATCATTTACCCCTATCACCTTGTTGTACAAGGTATTTTATATAGTCTGGCTGGCAAAATCAGATAAAATCATTAAATAATGGTTATGATGCATTCCTTTGAAGAGACCAAACAAAATTTATTAGCAAAAAACAAAAGTTACCATGACTCTGGAACTCTGGACGATATGAACTCAGCATGGTGAAAAGCTGAAAGGAGAGGGGGGAAAAAAATCAACATTCTCTTACATAAACCATTACAAAAGTAAAGAAACTTAATGAATGTGTGTGTCAAAGACCTATAATTAGAACCTGTGCATTCTAAGCATTCCGATTTTAAGGTGACAAATGTTATCTAAGCCAAATACATCCTAGTCGGAATACTTGTTCAAGAGTATTCAGGAAAAACATTTAGAGCTGTTAAAGTAGAATTAGAACCTTTATATCAGCAGTTTAGTATTTAATAAAAAAGTAATTTAAAACTCTGAAAACTTCCCGAAGTCAGATAAATGGGACCAGTTCCAGATTTTCTTTGTTGATTTTTTTTAAATCAAAGACATTTGCAAGTTGTAGTACAGAACAGAAATATAAAGAAGAAGAAAATTAAACATGTTTTAATTGATTTCTTGCATGATCTTACCTAGCTTTGCAATCCCAGCAGCAAATATAAAAACCGCGATAATAAGAGGCTGCTTGACGTAGTCAAACTTAATGGTGGCTAGGTGGATGGAGGCGTGCTCCTTCTCTGTGGCATTGCCAGAGGGTGCGGCCTCGCTGGCTAGTACTAATGGCAGGACACCACACAGTAATATAATCCGTAACAACCAAGTCATTCTGAAATCTCCCAAACTGTTACTGAGTGCTGCTCACTTTAGTTTGTTTAGGTCAGATGTACCCATAGCACTGTAACCAATGGCTATACAGAGGGACATGAAGTTTTCTCTGAGTTGTGATTCACTGAAGTGGTTGTGTTGATGGACACGATTTGAAGAATGATGGGAAAATACAGAACTTGGATATGAAATGATGTTGTTATGTACTTTTATTCTTCTTGTACTGTCTTTGACTTCATGAGTAGATGTCTGCAAAGAAAGGAAAATAATAAAATAATACTATTTATTTTTATTTTTGAGTCCCAGTTATTACTCTTTATCTAATAATGTAAAACGTGAAGATATCAAAGAGTAATTGATCTCAAAAGAACTATAAACAACAAAAATCTATGAACAGGACATAAAATACAGATCTCTGGGAATTCCAGCCATTGAATCAGGTCCCTATCATGAGAAAGCATCCCCTGTTGTCCTGTCACATCCCTTGTAAGTCCTATTAATCAGGCAGACAGAACATTCCAAAGTCTTATCCCATCCAAAGCTTTATTTCTTGCAATATCACTTGGTTTAATTTGTCCTAACAAAATCTGAAGATTAAATTAATTTTCATGTATCATATCTCACTTACTGAATAACTATTTCAAATTACAGATCAAGCAGCCAATTGGATCAACTTTCCCTCAACCATTGGGGTTTTTTCATATTTAACTGCCACTGAGATTAATTTACTACAAAAGAAACTTGGGATAAGACTTCTTTCACTAAAATTAATTATTTTGTTCTTATTGGTATTTGTGGGATATATAGCATAAATCTAATCTCAAATTTTACTTAAATCTTTGAAAAGTTAATGCCCTTTTCAAAGATTAATTGAAACTTCACACCTATGACAAGCATTAAATGATGAGTTTATTGGTGCCTTGACCAGGATTGTAAGTTTGTAACCTTAGTTGTAGGCCACCTGTCTCAAAATCGAAATTGAATACTTTTTTAAGATACAGGTTTTGATTACCCAGATTTATATCTCAGTTGAGTTCAAACACATTTAATGTGTACAGGATTTGAAGGTTCCCTCACTGATTCTATTGTTGTAATTTATCGTAACAACTCGATAGATAATATTTAAGTTAACTCATTTATAATCATTATAGATTTGTTATTAGAGTAAAATTATAATGCCTATGAAATATTGCATGTATAAATTAATTAAACAATTTAGAAGTAAGATACAGCATACCATAACTTTACATATCAAGCATCAAATTCTCCCTCAGTCACTACACTACATACTGTACCCAATTATGGCCACCCAATGGTGTAATATAAGTCCTAACACTCAAGCTTGAATGATTCCATTATAACCAGTTCACATATTATCTATAACAGTTAAAGACAAATCACAAAACAATGGTGCTAAAAAATAGCTTGTTTTTTTATTTTGTACAGAAATCAATACAAGTATCTTTCAGGTTGATTTAAACTCCTGAAAGCTTAGAGTGTCAAAGTGTGTAAATGAGGTGAAGAACATAACTCCCAAAAACAATGCATCTAATACATTATCGTTACAAAACAAAGTGTTTTGCGTAATTACATAACAAAGAAAATTCATCATGTGCAAATTGATAATTGCATGTGGAACCTATACTTTAACAAGTTTAGTTAAAATAAAATCAAACGAGAAAAATTCCAGCAATAACATTTTTTTTAAGGAAAAGGAGTGATTTGAAATTTATAAATGCATTCCTACTTTACAATGTGTCGGGAGCTGCTTGATTCCATGGAGTGCAGTGATGCTTTAATAACATCACTAACACATACTTAATTAAATCCATCTGGAACCTGATAATTTCAATCAATAATTATAAAATTCTAAAAAGACATTTTGCTCAATTTGATTGAACACAAATTAAAAAGATAGATTTACAAATAATTGTTTGACATTTTTCTCAAATGTTAAGTTTTTAAGTAATAAATGATAGCATAAACAATTCAAGATTTCTTCTTTGGCAAAAGCCAAACATTGAAGTTATAAATAATGGTCATATACAATAGGCCCTTGACATTTAAATATATAAGGGTAAATAGTTCAATAAGTTTACATGAGGACAAGTATCACTACCTGTACCCTATGAACACAGGATTGATAGGCAGCTAAATCTTATATTCAGATTATTTGAGATTTAATCATGGTTAAAACATTAAAGCTCTTCTGAAATAATCTACAACCTTCCAGCAGGTAATATTGCACCCCACTTAATCTACTGACATCTATGTGTATTGACGGATCAAAAATAAATAAATAGGTAGAAGACTTAAATGTCATTGCACGGAATCCATGTGTTTTTCTATACATTCGATCAATGCATACTATCTTTGCAAGATATATAACTGTAATCACACATATTGGTCAATTTCATTAAGTAGATACAACATTATTGTTCATGATAAGAGTAAAGTTGTGTATGTCATACGTTAAAGAAATCAAAAATAACAAAATATCATTAGAAAGTCACTTTCCCCCCGAAATGCAAATAAAAAATATCAATATTCCTACGGTCTTTTTTTTTTTTTTTACGTGTTTGATAACAGAGAATAATTAGGTCATTCTTCGATTCATATCTTTTCACCAATGAATTGATAATACTATATCAACAATTGTATTAAGTACATGTTTATAGTCCGTTAATTATCATACAATTTGTTCTTAAAGAAAAAATTAATCATTCTGTGTGTGTGTATTATTAAATGACGGAATTTTCAATCCCTGGCCTGCTCGTGTGTACACTTCGTAAACTGTAGGGTATGTGTGGCAAAACGAGAACTGCATGGGTTGGAGATTCGGGTTCGTGTTGAAGTTCAGCATACCATTATATATAGAAATTGAATTATGTAAGTAATTTCTGCGAAGTTATTTTCAAAACAAAAAAGGTTTTCCATGTTTTCAGTTTAGAATTTTCCGACCCGGTCCTGATTTTCCCAACCCGGCCATTTTAAACACAAGTTGTTGCAGATGCAAATGTTAGAACAAACTATATAAAGTTCAACAGGGATTGTATAATTTTTATTAATCAGAATTCGTATTTATATGATCTAATTAAGAAAAGAAAAGTTTTGTCTGACACCGTAACTTCTCGGCAAAACAAAACGTGTTTCTCCGATCTCGCTGGATGCGTGTGACAGCTCCATTGCACGTGTGTAGACCAAGGCTACAGGTACATGTAGGCCTATGTGTACTGTTTGTTAGGAGAATGGGTGACCGTAATGCTATGGAATCACGATATTTACAACAGTTCCATAATTAGACAGTGCAGTTTTTTTTATTAACGTCATTATAAACACTGTTAAACATATTAAATCTAACAGTCGAATATCTTTGGATATGGGGTAACCCATATCTATTCTTGTTTATTTATCCTTCCAAAGCAATATTCAATTTTTTTCTCAGGTCTGCACATGCACTTAAAAGGTCTTTTTTTCTTCTAGTTCTGATCAAACAGCATTGCTTGGCAACAAAGAATGATTTTAAAATCTTGTCAGTCATAAATTTCCCTCCACCTTCTCAATCCATGTATGAAACTGCGATCAATATTCCTCATTCTTTTAATATCACATTACGGAAAAGTTTAAAGTTGGGCACTTTGTAAGATAAATTGGCTATCCTGTAAATTATGAATGTAGAATGAACCCACTCTTTCTGATTAAATGAACATGTCTGCTGCAACCAGATGTAAATTGGCAATCCCTTGACTGAAAACTTCAACTCCCCAAAATATCCTGTAAACTTTTTATCTGCCAATTCAAATAATTCTTGATAGTGTTTGTGAATAAAAGTGCATCCTTTAATTGACAAAAAAATTTAATGTTAATCAAAATCTGATATTATGGAAAATGAAACATACAAAAATATTTACTTAAATAGAAAAGGAGAAAATTAATGGCTGGATTGGGAATTGGATTTGAACCAGGTACTGCTCCATTACAAGTTAGGAGCTCTAACCACTAGAACAATATCCATATTCCTTATATGTAAAGTACATACTAAGTTATATCTCAAGCTGTAATGCTAATAGAATTAAGATGCCGTAGATTATTAAATTTTTGTGACACCTTTATTTTCACTAGGTATAATAGACATTAACTATTTATTAGTGAGACAAAATTTTCACAAATTGTGGTTATACTTGTCTATATAATCTTAAGGATTACTAATATACATGAGAATGATATTTTTGCGAGTACACCGTCTCACATAATTACATGAAAATAAGGTTCTTGCAAATAAAAAGTGATTTACAGTGTAGTTTTAATTGCTTTAACTTGAATGTTTTTTTGCTTTTATAAGAATTATCGGTATACAGTCTGAAAATTGAGGGTCCACCATTCTAATTGACTGACATAAAATATAAGTATTGTCGAAGTCTAATATTTCAGAAATAATATGTTATCATTACCCTAGCAGGAGAGGATAAAAGACCCACCATTATAAAGATCTAGATGGGAAATAGAACACAACATTGGATAATCCACCGTGTAGTGTATGATTAATTGTAAATCAATATAAACTATCTATTGTCATCTATCTACAACTAAAGTGGTAGAAAACAGTTGAAGCTCTATGTGTGTTGCACTGAACAAAGAGACTGTTCTGGAAGAAGTACACCTGACAATTTTGTAGTTTCTCAATTTGAAATCACCCATGCATTTTAAAGAAAAAAATACTTAACTTTTGGCATCATGAACAACACCTGTCAAAAGTTAAGTGCTGAATCAGACTACTTTCTGTTAATTATATATCTGATCAGACAATGAAGTTATCAAATAACAAAGCTTAAATTCTGTTACCAGCAAATTTTGATTCATATCCCGGTATATGTAAGTGTAGAACTGTAAATAAATACCTTATTGAATCCCCACTTCCCTGTGGTATGTTAGTTATTTCCTTCTACATTAAAAAACTTTTATATTACTTATCTTTATATTTAAGTCCTATCACTGAGAACTTGTAATCCAAGTAAGCAGAGGTATACACTAAATATGTCCGCTATAGCTTCCGTTTGTTTTAACACAATGTAGAAAATAAACAACCTCTCAAGAAAAAAATAATAAAAACACAAAATGACTTCAAATAATTCAATAAAGAAGGAATTTTATTACCTTATTTTCAAAAAAAGAATGTTCCTAAACTTTATCCTTGTCACTCACTCCACACGCATCAGACTGATAATCAATAGTCGTACAAAGTCAATTTT